TGCTGTCTGAAATCTCGATGGGCAAGTGTGTTTCTTGACGTGATTTACAAGCTTTGAGAACTGCACATGGACATTGAAACCACGAAAGCTCGAGTTCAGAAAGCAGTTCCATAAGAGAGGTAAGAGGGGGGGCATAGTACGTCAGACGAGGCACCGCGCATCTTGAGAGCAACCATTTGACATGGACCAAGTTAAAAATGACACAATACCTAGAGGCCTATAAATAAGAAACAAGCTGCTAAAACACTCCAATAATCCCACATATTGATACAAGAAAATAAAAAAGGCGCGGGACAATGAATGACAAAAGGGTCCGATAGTTTTCCATCATACTTTCGTAGACTGATACAATCCTCAATCTTTTCGATTCATCTCTCATCGTTGTACTTTTACAAATCCAGGCACGGAAGGCTGCTTTACAGCTTCGAAGCCGGGGAAGGAGAACCAGGCTTTGTGATTTCATCGTAAAGGAGTCTATTCCGCCAAACCAAGTCAGTCCAACTCGTCCAGAAGACCAGCATACTCCGCGACAATGATGTAATGCGACAAGTATGTGATTTGGGGGAGGCAGAGAGAAGGAGGGGGGGATGGGGAAAACTCACGTCGTCAAAAAGTCGGCATAGTCCTCGCCCGTCACCTGGGTAGCAAAGTACTGCGCCGCGAGCTGGAACTTGTTCCCCTGGGGCGCCTTGGCGGCGAGCGCGTCGGCGCACTCCTTGAGCAGCCGCAGGGCGTAGGCCTTGTCGACGCGCTTGCCCTCGGCCGTGGACACGCCGTGCTTGACCCATTGCCAGAGCTGGCTGCGGGAGACTTCGGCGGTGGCGGCGTCCTCCCTTTAAGTTCATTGTTAGCAATCACGTTTGTCAAGACACTATATTATAAACAATCGGTGAGGCAAGTTAAGACTCACATCAGGTAGTTGATGGGGACGCAGCCGACGCCTCGGATCCAGGCCTCCATGTAGCCCAGGCCAATGTTGAGATTCTTCTTGATGCCCTCCTCGGTGATGCTTCCGGGGACGTTCATGTTGAGCAGGTCGTTCTGGGTAATCTTGACGTCCTCCCGGCGGACAAACAACTGGTTGGGCGTGGGCATGTACTTGTTGAAGATCTCGGTGGCGATGCCGGCAAGGGCGGGATGGGCCACCCAGGTGCCGTCGTGGCCGGCGCGGACCTCGCGCAGCTTGTCGGCGCGGACGTTCTCCATGGCCTTGTCGTTGGCCTCCTTGTCGTCCTTGATGGGGATCTGGGCGGCCATGCCTCCCATGGCGTGGACGCCGCGCTTGTGGCACGTCTGGATGAGGAGCTTGACGTAGGCGTCCATGAAGGGGACCGTCATGGTGACGGCGGAGCGGTCGGGCAGGACGAAGTTGGGGTTGTTGCGGAACTTCTTGATGGTGCTGAAGATGTAGTCCCAGCGGCCGCAGTTGAGGCCGGAGCTGTGGTCGCGGAGCTCGTAGATGATCTCGTCCATCTCAAAGGCGGCGAGGATGGTCTCGATCAGCACGGTGCCCCTGATGGTGCCGCGGGGGATGGCGATGTAGTCCTGGGCGAGGTTGAAGACGTCGTTCCACAGACGGGCCTCGAGGTGGCTCTCCATCTTGGGCAGGTAAAAGTACGGCCCGAAGCCCTGCTTCTGCGACTCGACGGCGTTGTGGAAGAAGTACAGGCCAAAGTCGAACAGGCTGCCGGAGATGGGCTCGCCGTCGACGAGGAGGTGCTTCTCCTCCAGGTGCCAGCCTCGAGGGCGGACAATCAGGGTGGGCAGCTTGCGGTCGGTGCGGAGCTTGTACTCCTTGGCGCCCTGCTTGAAGTCGACCTGACGGCGGACGGCGTCGTACAGGTTGACCTGGCCGTTGATCATGTTGTCCCAAGTCGGGGCGCTTGAGTCTTGATGATTGCTTCAGATTAGCCGACGTCTCGTCTCACAACAACAACCGCATTCTTAGACATCTTACCTTCGAAATCAGCCATATAAGTCCAGACATCAGAGTTCAACGCATTGACGACCATCTTGCGGTCCGTCGGGCCCGTAATCTCCACGCGCCGGTCGACCAGACCAGGCGCGGGAGCGGCTCCCTTCCATGTGGGATTCTCACGGATGTGCTTGGTCTCGGGCAGGAAATCGGGCAGGACTCCGCGATCCAGCTCGGCCTGGCGCAGCTTGCGGCGCTCGAGCAGGTTCTTGCGGGTGGGGTTGAATGAGCGGTGGAGGAGGGCGAGGAAGGCCAGGGCGGGAGGGGTGAGGATCTTGCGGTGGGCATCGTCGACCTTGCCGAGGATGGTGACGCCCTGGAGGATGCTTTCTGTGGAGGCCATGGTGATGGTTTTTATGGTTGGTTTCGGAGAAGAGGATGTCGTTTGCAAGCAGTGTTTTGAAGATGGTGGTATGAGAAGAGGCGTGAGAGGGAGAGGGAGAGGGAGAGAGAGAGAGAGTTTGTCAGAGGGTGAGATGAGACAGGAGGTGAGATTCCAGCAAGGGTATTAAGTTCAATTGGTCGGGCTGGAGCAGCGGCAATGAGTGATGGGCTGAGAGCAAACTTTCACATGTCAGTGACACTGTTGTTCCACGGCGGCTCTCAAGCTGGTATTGGAGTAGCTTGAAGAATTGGGGAGGGGAGGACCACAACTCACGGGATATGTCGAGGAGGCTATAGCTAGTCCGCGAGCCGCACGATTGGATTCACACTCGGCAGAGAATGCTTTGGATTCGGATTCACGCAAATACTGAGCAGAGAAGAAGCGGGAGAAGACAGAAGAAAGGAATGGCGAACGATGGCTGATATAGCTCGCTGGTTGTCACAGCTTTCCCCGGCCATTGACGCCGAGCTTGTCGGGTCCAAGGTATGACGCACCCACCAGCAAAGAGCCCCAAGTGCCACCCCCAGATCGGCAAAACGATTAGCCCTCCGCCGCCCTTATCGGTTCCGTATCGTACCTAGGTGCTTGTATTATCACGTAAATAAAGTGTCCCTCTTCCATTGAACCAGCTGCACGAATACATTCACCTTGTAAGTAAGGTAGTAAGTAATGGCCCCCCTCGTCCGTCCGTCCAGGCCCGCTCCATTCACCCTTTGCCTCGTCATACTGCTAAAAACAGGCACTACTACTGTATGTATTCCGCACCACAAGCTCCCAAATCGCCGGAGCCCGTCAGCCCCCGGCTCTTTTCTGGGGTTTCGGCACCTGTCGGTCTGGCTGATGCCCAGAAGAAGAACCTAGCCTCGGGTGGACGGATGGAAACCCTCAAAGTACCCGGTACCTCCAGCGCGGGGGAAAGGCTGCTCTGGCATGTGCTCGCAGCACGCCCTGGAGGCCTGGAAGCGTGGCTGCAAACGGCCTGGAGGACCGCCTGGGGGGCGAGACTGCGGGGTAAACTGCCGAGAGGTACCGTGTACATAAAAGCTTGAGGTGGCACCGACTTCTTGCGAGCCGGGCTCTACCTAGAATCGGCTTAAACGTCATGTCATTCATTCGTTCACCTGTTGCTGAGAGGAGCTTCTATCGATAGCCACCATCGCCTGGATCGCAGCTGATCATCTGATGGACTGTAAGATACCAAAGGCTTCTGCCGAGGGACTGAGGAGCTGAGACCGAACGTGTGTACATACGAATCTGGCATCATGACACGCCTCAATGGTCTCAAGCTTGTTTTGTTTCATCATCAGTCCCCTTTCACTTCTCTCTACCCGTATATGCGTAGAATAGTAATTACCGTCCACTACAAGAAAGGCAAACCTTACCCTTTGAAACCACAGTCGAACAGGCCATTCAATCCCCAGCAGCAAAAAGAGTTTCGTCCCCTCAGCCAACTCAGCGTTATCCCACCCCCATCCTCACAACCGAGTGGCAAAAAAAAAAGAACAAGGACAAACATCCAAGCCAATACAACTCCTCCACACTACCTAGATATTACCTACCTAGTACTCGTATTAATCTGCCCACCCAAATTACCTACCCCAAAATCCTCAACACTCCTTGTATGTACATGCACCGGGTTGCTTCTCCAACGAACCGAGGCTCTCTCCCTCCCGGGCCACCCCCAAAACCGTTTCCCTGAGCCGCAACCTTGCCCATCGATGGCCCGAGACTTTCCGAGATGCCGCCATGCTCCCCATCATCCCTTTCCATTTTCGAGTCCAATACCAGCATTGTCATCATCATCTTGGCAATACATTAGTACCTACATACAAGGTGTCTAGTACTGCGTCCTGTTCGGCATCAGCCGGTCTAGTTCGTGTCTCATCTGCAGCTATAGAGTACCAGCACAACTATCACTATTACTAGACCCATGCTCATGATTCTGCGCCAGCATCTCCTACGCTTATTCTTTCATCCGACCATCTTTCCACTCTTGTCTCTTCTCTCCCTTGCTCAAACCAACATCTGAATTGTGCTCATGATATTTAACTCTGACAAATGGAATACAGTCCAGCTCTGGGAAGCAATGCTCGCGTCATCTAATTACAGCCAATCCCACTGACCAGCCCATTGACCCTGTAGCTCTCCCACGGCCGCATTTGCCGCCATCTCTCTGCCAACGAGGCCAAGTCATGCAGATACCCTCAAAATCCAGCTCTCGGTAACAAACAAATATTGTACAATGAAAAGAATAAAGAAGAAAAGCCAATGGTCAAGCTGTACACCCTTTTCCAGTCCATTGATCCAACAGCATTAAAAGTATTCTCATACCAGCTTTGCTCTGCCACATCATTATGACCACGCCACTTGGAGACCCATTCCGGCTCTCCGTTTCGAAATGTTGATTAAAAGAAAAAGATTAGCTTCAATCGTAACGGAATGTGTCGCAAAATGTAGCTCGAATCCAGACCAAGATACTAGGTTTCTTCGCAGCCATTGCGTTTGGGAAAAGTCCCTTTCATGGAGTCGTATAATCAGTCGTCGTCGATAGATTCACGCCGCGTCCGACCCCTGATACACCCCAAGCATACAAGCAGGGGAGGTAGAAGTGAATGTAGAGAAAAGTCAGAGAGCGCGGCGTTACGAGTTGAGAGTCTTGATCATCATCTTCTGCTTGCTTGGGTCCTTAACCACGAGATTGCGATCGGTAAACACAATCCTCATCGTATCCACAACTTTGTGGAAGCTGCTCGCGGCACCTCGCTCTTGGGTGAATCGGATGATGCTGAGCGGCTGTTTCTTACCGTGCTCAATCACCGTCATCACCTCCGCGGCGAAGGCAACTGGTTTGAGGTTCAGGCCTGTGTTGTTGGTTAGCATCGTCGAGGGCACCAGACGGCAGCTCGAGCTACTTACAATTCTCGGTCCCGACGCGCGCAAAGATGATATTGCGTTCCTTATCCACCTGTATATCCGTCATGCCGTACTTGCGCCACTTGCGCAGCAACATGGCCACCTCCTGTCGGGCGCGCTTGCGTGACAGTGTCATGCAGATGTGGCTCGTTGCAGGTTTGACGCGGAAGAGCCTAGTAAGCCAATTCTGCTTCACCTCAATGTTTCGGCTGCTGCCCGACGACGATCTATGCCATCCTTGTCCTTTCTTATCGGTTCGGGCCGTGGCCGTCTCCTGAGTAGGACTCATATCATCTATGGGGGATATAGTTGGTCAGCTCGAGAATCAGCAAACTAATTGAACCGCAGTCGTCCATACCTTCGATAATCTTGGAATCCCTATTCCGATTGCTCTTCCAGAACGGAAAGCTAAAGTTTCTCTTCTTGGACGAGTTGGCAGTGGTAGAGCTTGAGGCAGACTGGCGAGTCTCGCACGAGACGGTTCGCTGCTTGCCATCCTTTGGCTCTGCCAAAGTCTCGCCGTCCGTTTCGGGCTTGAACGACCGCCTGAACCATGACTTCTTCTTCTTCACCGGGCTGTGATTGCCAGATTGTGGGGCATCTTGCGCATAATGCTCATGGTCTCGGGCTATGTGCTCTCTTTGCTTGCGCTGGATCTGTAGAGGCTGCACAAGGCTCTCTTTGGTTGGCTTCTTTCGCACGTTGAGTGGTTCCGGAATCTTGACCGGGCTGAGTGCGCTGGGTGAGTTGACAACCCTGATCGAGGTTTCGACGTTGTTCAGATAGTCGACTCCACTCATGGGACGCTTCGCCTTGTTCGATGGCGTTTGCGGTGGCGCCGATACGATCCTTGTCTTCTCCGCGTTGGCAGTGGTGACCACCGGGTTCTCGCTGATGCAAGGCAGGGTGCCCGTTCGTCGACTGACATGGCCGTAGGCCGGTGCGGATACGACTCGGCGGTCGGCTTTGTTCGAAAGCATCAGGGGTAGAGCCAGCCGATCAATCTGCTCCACCAGAGTGTCGCGGTCCTCAGCTCTCGAGGCTGGTCGAGAGTTCACAGCAGTGGTCTGCTGACTGGGAAAGGCAATCTCAGATGGAAGTGGCGGCAAGGGACGGGTGCTCCAAGACTTGTTGGAGAACTCCGAGGGCGCCGTCGCCTCCGAGGGAGTATCAATCGTGAAAGAAAGCGGCGTCGAGTCACGCTGCTTTCTGTCCACATCCGCCACCGATCCAGTAAAGGATTCGTCCTCGATGAGGGAGCACCTAAATGCCTCATCACAGTCCTTGGCGATGTTGTTGCTAAAGTGACGCAGCTCTTCGTTAAAAAGAAGCGAGGCGTCCTTGAAGACGGGGGCGCCTTTTGCTTTGGGATAGGTACCATCCGGCAGCTGGGGCATTTCAGGCGTGGGAGACCGGGCTCTCGAAGGAACCGGGTGCGTAGAACCATTAGCGACGACAGAGCTTTCGCGTGAGGAATGAGGCCCTCGCTGAACTTGCGCTGCAGAAGCAGATCGCTTGCGGATGTGAGAGAAATCGACGCCTCGCTTGTGCCGCAGGCCAGGGCCGTGCCTCTGTGGCGTGCCTTGTCTGGTATGCAGGGAGCTCATGGATCCCCTCGATGACGGAGGACGACCGATGTTTGTTCGCACAGAACTGGCTTGTCGTCGACGAGCGGCATTGGATACACTGCGTGTTCGAGTCGACTGCGATGTCTGCAGCATCTCGCCATTGCGATGGACAGTGATCCTCGCATGGCTTGCCTGCGAACCGCATGTCTTCAGCATCCGGCTGCCTCTGAAGGGGTCGTAGCTTTGGACAGTTCCATCCTCGGTCTCGGCTGCTGTCGAAATGACTGTGAAGCGGGAGATGGATCTACCGTGACCATTGACTCTGGGCTGGGAAAACTCGCATGTCGAGACACGCTTCCTCCAAGAATTTGGCTTGAGGTGGTGGTAGTCGCTCATCGAGTGAGACAGTTCCGGCTTGAAGTCCTCGAGTTGTTGCTCACGGTAGTTGTATAGCAACCAATAGAACGCCTTTTGGTCATTGGGCCTAGATTCAGTCACAGTAAGTAATGAGCTATCACAAGATGGGGCATCTGCTTTGGTCACTTACTCTTTGGAAGACAACTTCATCTCCAAGTCGTCATCGCTGAACATGTGCCAGAGCGAGCGTAGCTGTCGCAGCAGCTGAGGGTCAATCTGCTGCCGCGGAATGGGGGCATACTGAAAGCCCTTGCGCGTGTCCGGCGGCTGTCCAGTGTTGTGGCCAAAGTCGTCCAGATAGTTGTACTTCTGAATTAGCGGGTGCTGCCAAATCTGCTTCATAGCGATGCGTTGGTCAGGATTGACCTGGAGCATGCGGCGGATGAGGTCCTCAGCTTCGGGGCTGAGAAAGTCAGGCATCTTGTATTGCCCCTTCTTTGTTTTGCCCATCATGACACGCAAATCGGGGTCGTCAAAGGGCAGAGTTGCGGACAGCATAGCATACAGGATGACGCCCATGCTCCAAATGTCAGCCTTGTCTCCGCGGTACTGTCGATTCTTGAGAAGCTCAGGAGCTGCGTAGTGGGGGCTACCGCAAGCCGTGGCCAGTCGATGCGTAGCCGTCTGGTGAAGAGCCGCCATGCCAAAGTCGGCGATTTTGATCTGGAGATCGGCGGTGATCAAGATGTTCTCAGGCTTCAGATCCCGATGGCAGACATTGAAGGAGTGGCAATAGGCAATGGCGCTGATCATCTGGCGGAAGAAATAGATGGCCACTTCCTCGGACAGCCGTCCCTTTGTGTTGATAAAGGTAAAGAGATCGCCTTGGTCAATGTATTCAAGTATGAGATAACTGGAATAGCGAGTCAGTCAGAATATCTACCAGAAGTCGTAACAAGAGGAAGCAACGTACATTTCGGAGCGATTCTCCCATATGTCATAGAGCTTCATGATATTGGGATGTTCGATAAGCTTGAGGATGGCCACTTCGCGCTCAATCGCCACGGGAACACGCATCTCGCCATTGACTTCGGGGAGGCTCGAATCCCACTTGCTGAGGGCAGCGAGGCTGCTGTCTTGGACAAGATACGCCATCCGACGGTTGACAATCTTGACAGCGGCGAGCTGCTTGGTGATGCTGTGGCGGCATAGGCGAACACGAGCCGACGAGCCCTTTCCAAGCGTCTTGCCCAGCTGCCATGGCCCAATGTGCGTCTTGTAGTTCTTCCTGCTGTTGCTGCTGGAGGTGGAGGCGTAGGAGGCCTGGGAAAGACGCTTCGCAGCCTCTGCTGGCGGCTGTCCTCCTTGGACAACAGGAGCATAGGCGTCGTAAGCCACTGCCTGGGGATGCGGGTTGGGTTGCATGTTCTGGCCGGGATAATAGCTGTAGCATTGAGCGGCACCGGATTGACTGCGTCGTGCCTTGTAGCTCTGGTGGGCGTGAGCGGGCGCGGGAATGTTGAGGCGGTTGGTGGTTTCGGCGAGAGGCGCACGATGCTTTGCCGTATGTTCCGCCATGTTTATCGCCGCGAATTGCACAGAGTGCTAGCACATAATACTCGAGAGCAGCTCAAAGGATGAATTGGCTGCGATACGACTGCGAAGCGGCAAGATGCTGATTACTTGGTAAGGTAATTGGTAGCTGGCGATGCGTGAAGAAAGGGAAGACACAAGCTGATGCTGTAACGAGAGTGAGGTGGCACAGGGAAACAAGGAGAAGGAAGAGCCGTGCAAAGACTGGAGGGGAGAAGACGTGGCAGGCGACGTGCGTGAGGAGAGGAGAAGGAGAAAAAGCAGCACTGCCTAGGTAGGGTAGGTAGGGGAGAGGAACCAAATGGAAGCCCGGCATGCCAGCTGGACAACAGGCGAGGAATGCAGCCCTGGAGTGCTGGCAGTGGCAGCTTCTGGGTGCCGACAGAGCAGCTGGCGGGCAGTCACAGGGGGCAAAGGCGCTGGAATTTAGGGATCGGATGGGGTCGCGTCGTTCTTCCAGGACTTCAGGTAGGGATTTTTGCTAGATTGAGTCTGAGGAATCGCTTGGACGCGCGTGGTGTGTATTTTCGGTGTTTGATTGTCGCGATGCATTCCACATGTGTGTGTTTTGTGTTGGAATTCAGGACTGAGACCAGCGGGACGTCCGATCGTGCAAATGTCCTATGTGTACGGTGCCTTGGCTACAAGGTGATATCATCTGAATACATAACAGAAAAACAAAGGGCAAGCAGTAATGGGACGAGTGAAGAGTTGGTCATTGATGCCACGTTCAGAAGCGACGTGCAGCGAGTCTCGGCTTATCGCACTACATGTACCAAATCGTACCTTATGGGATGACTCGTCCAAGCAATGGCCGCGAGCTCCAGCTTTGAACTGCACGAGACCCGAATATAGGCGCTGCCGAAGTGAAAGGCAAGTAAAATAAATCATGAGGTGTTTCTCGATTCAGTCTGCAACACTTCAATATTTATCCGCCTATGCGAACTTCAAGCTCTCGATAGAGCCATCTGATATCAAACACTCGCAAAGAGCACTCAGGTATGACCGAACCAAGGGGGTAGCATGTTCCTTTGTAAACATTGACACAAGCCGGTGCAAGTCCACCATTACTGTCATAGATGGCTTCTACATCGAGAATGAGGCAATCCTCGGCTTCAAAGTGCCATCCGATCTCCATACAAAGCGCCAGGAAGGAGACGAGATTCAGCAGATGCTCGCAAAGCAAGGGATGAGGTTGAGTAATGACTAAGCCACCTGGTCGACGATTGGCCCTTCATGTCCAAATTTGGCACTTGAAGTGCAAGTGCCGAGCTGCTTACCTAAGGAACTGAAGTCTGTCACTCCATTCGACACTCGTCACCATTGCATGCAGTGGAAAGAATCACGTATACCAGGTATATAGAAGACACCAGCGCAAGTTCTATGCAAGTCTCGAGACATCTACCCGAGAGCATTTGGTTGCTGATAATGACCTGTGGTGACCGGCAATGGAGCGTTCACGGACTGATGTGGTACCTAGGTGGATATTGATACTTGACAGTACCTACATTGCCAGTATGCCATCGACCGGGAACAGCTTATAGTACCAAAATGCAGTGGCCAGAGTATATCCGATACAGACATCCTGTATGAACAACCAGCGTAATTGGTTTAGTGGTAAAATTCTCCGTTGCCATCCGCAACGTCGGGGAGCCCTGGGTTCGATTCCCAGATTACGCAGTCGTTTTTCTTTTTGCCTTTGCTCAGAGCTCTTTTTCCTTCATTTTCCTTTATTTTTTTTTCTTCAAGCTTGTGACGAGGTCACAAGAAAGAAGATGCAAAGGGTGAACATGTTGGTCGACAGACATGCTGTCTCAATTGTTGCTTTTGAGGTGGCTGTTTGACATGGGGTACTGTAAAGTAGACGGCGGTGATGCACCTAGTAGGTATCTCGTAGCTTTGTGTCGCTCGTCGTAGAAAGTATGCGAGGATTGATGGGGGTTCGAGATGCTCTCCTCTCGTTTGCTGGTCTTGGTAGTAGTATATCGACATCAATTTTCGTGGCATGGCTGAATCTACTTGATCTGGCAACTCTTGTTGCAGTGTCTATGAGCTGCACGAACGGTGGGCTCTACAGTAAGATGATGCAAGAAAGCCTGAACAGAAGGGAGGGAACAAGAAGGAGGCAGAAGAAGAGACTCTTTTCATCAAGAATCCTGCTGATTTTCATTCCCTCTCGGTGTACATGAATTGCCAACACAATGTGCAAAGCGCAACATCCATAAGGACTGGGCATGAACAAGAGTAAGTACCTACCTTATTGTAGGGTTGGCGCTGTTGGAGAGCCTTTGGAGGGGAGCAGCGCTAAAAGCTGGCGTTAATTGGTGGTGGGGTCAAAGAACGCGATACGCGTCTCACCAACTTCAACTTTCTACCTGTTGCCTCTCACCACCAGCTTCGATGCAATCACCAGCACCGCCCGCAATCACGATTCCCTGACACATTTGTTTCACCTTGACTGGTGCAGGCTTGCGAGAGCAGAGAGGATATGAGTTCCAGCAACTCGCGCCGCCGTCGGCGTGAGGAAGAAGACGAGGACGACGACGGCAGCGGCACCGAAGGCCACGGCTCGCCCTCTGGCGACGACAGCTTCAAGCGACGACGCTTGCACTCAGACACCGAGGACGGCCAGCCCCGTCGCAGGAACGGCCAAAGAGCGACAGGCAGCAGCGCAAATGGAACAGGCGCAGGCAACGACATGGGCAGCTTCCAGCCAGGCGCCATCGTCAGGGTCACCGTGCGCAACTTCGTCACATACGAACACGCCGTCTTCTTGCCCGGTCCCAATCTCAACATGGTCATCGGCCCCAACGGCACCGGAAAGAGCTCTCTAGTATGTGCCATCTGTCTTGGCCTTGGCTACAGCCCCCGACACCTGGGTCGCGCGGGTCAGGTCAAGGAGTTTGTCAAGCACGGCAAGGACACGGCCACCATCGAGATTGAGCTCTACAAACGACCCCAAGATCGCTCCAACTTTGTCATTCGAGTCCAGATCCGCCGCGAGCAGAACATTCAGAAATGGTGGCTCAACGGCAAGGAGACGACGCTCAAGAAGATTCAGTCGTTGATGCATGCGCTCAAGATCCAGGTCGACAATCTTTGCCAGTTTCTCCCGCAGGACAGAGTCGTCGAGTTCGCCGCCTGCACGCCAGTGCAACTACTACACGAGACTTTGCGTGCGGCTGCTCCCGAGGAGATGCAGGAGTGGCATTCGCAGCTCCAAGGCCTGCACAAAGACAAGAAGGAAATGGCTGACACGGTGCTCGCGGATGCTGAAACTCTGAAGAACCTCCAGTCTCGTCAACAAGGCTTGCAAGCAGACGTGGATAGAATCCGCGAGCGAGAAGTGATTCAGGAGCGGGTCGAAGACCTGAAATGCGCCCTTGTATTTGCCCAATATCAAGAGGCTCGAAACGACTATAAGGATGCTAAGAACCGCAAGAAGGAGGCCGAGAACAAGCTGAGGCGCCTGGAAAGAGAGAGCGGCCCTTCATTAGAGGCAGTCAACCAAAAGCAAGTTTATGCTCGAGCGATTGAGGCTGCCATACCACCGAGAACCAAAGCCGTCAAGGATGCACAGTTGGCTGTGCAAGTCTTGGCGCAGGAGATCAGCGCGGCGATCGACGACGTCAAGGAGTGGTCGAACAAGATCGGCGCTGAACGCAAGAGATTCGACGAGAAGAAGAAAGAGGTCGCGGCATCCAGATTGAGAATCACAACGCTACAAGCAGAACTGAAGAAACGACCATCAGAATTCAACGGAGCCGAATGGAACCAAAAGATTGTAAGTTTTCTGCCCCTTTTTCCTATAGTGTTTTTCTGCACCCCCCTCCCTTGCATTTTTCAATCAGTAAGCTAACGCAGTTGTGCTTGGTTGTAGCGAGCCGAAGAACACAACCTGCGTGAAGTGGAAGCGGAGCAGCGTCGACTTCGCGAGGAGATGGGCAGAGTCAAGGATGAGGGGAAGAAGAAGCAGGAGGAGGCGCATAAACTCAAGGCGGACATAGAAGCCCTCGATACACAAGAGGGCCAGCAGCTAAGCTTCATGCGGAGGCACTTCCCGGAGCTCGCTCAGGCTTGGGACTGGGTTCAGGCGAACCAGCACGAATTCGAAAAGGAGGTTTTCGGACCACCCATGCTGTGCTGCTCGGTCAAGGACGAGCGCTTCTCCGACCAGGTTCAGGCTCTGTTGCAGCAAGACGACTTCCTCTGCTTCACGGCACAAACCAAAAATGACTACAAGAAACTGACCAACCAGATCTACCGCGAAATGAGCTTATCAGCCGTCGTCAGAACTTGTTTGCAGCCTCTGAGCGCCTTCAGGCCTCCGGTCAGCAACGAAGAAGCTCAGTCGCTTGGTCTGGATGGGTTTGCCCTCAACTACCTGGAAGGCCCTGAGCCCGTCCTTGCCATGCTCTGCGCTGAAAAGAGGCTACATCAGTCCGGCATCTCGCTGAGGGACCACAGCGATGACGAGTACGAGAGACTCGTCCACAACGGCAAAATCAATCAATGGACAGCCGGGAAGCAGCAGTACCAGGTTCGTCGACGGAAGGAGTATGGTCCAAATGCAATGACAACAATCACCAAGAGAATCCAGCGGGGCAGGTTCTGGACGTCACAGCCCGTCGACTCGCAAGAAAAGGTTGAGTTGAATAGGCGACTCACAGAGGTTCAAGGGGAATTGGAGATCTTGAAGACAGAGATCAAGGATCTGAGAGAAAAGAATGGGCCCTTTGAGGAGCAAAAAGAGGTCCTGCAGAAGAAAATAGTAAGTCCCTCTCCATCTCTGGTCATGTATACGGACGTTTGTATTGACCCTAGCAAGGAACAATTGAGAAACGAAAAGAACGCGCTCCAGAGGGAGTTTAGCAAGTGGCAGTTGATACCGCAAAAGCTAGGTTAGTATTCCGAGGCCCCATCTGCAATCCCTTTCTTCCTCCTCGACCTGCTGACCCAGATAGAATCCGAGGAACGGCACAAGGAAGCCAACGAAGAGGCCATGCGTGAGGCGCGAGAAAAGATTGTGGATCACGGCTTTGAATGGGATAAGGCAGTGGTAGAGCGAGCGAAACTGGTTCTTCGCCATCAAGAAGCTCTCGGCCAGGTTTCAAAGGCCCACGAAGCTCTTATCGAGGCGAAGATACGCCTCATTGAGGCCAACTCCGACGTTGAGGGACTCAAGGCTCGCAATTCTAACATCATGGAGGAGCTCGAAAACGAGAGGAGTATTGTTCAGCAAGCTGCCGAAGATAGCGCTCGTGCCAGAGAATTAGCCACGCGGCTGGGCGACCAGGTTACGGAAATCCTCCGCGACCACCGCGACAAGGCTGAGACATACCACTCGCTGGTCAATGAAAAGACGGCGGCGGAGATTGGAATGGAGATCTCTGCCGAGGAGGCGAACCTCGAGCTCATCCACGCAGCCAACCCCAACGTCATCCGGGAGTTTGAGAAGCGCGAGCAGGAAATCGCCAAGCTGCAGAAGAAGATGGAGGCGGCGAACAACAAGCTCGTGTACTTGAGCGAGCAGCTGAGTGATCTGATGGGCAAGTGGGAGCCCCGGCTGGACGCCCTGGTGAGCAAGATCAACGACGCCTTTGCCTACAATTTCGAGCAGATTAGCTGTGCCGGCGAGGTCCGCGTCAACAAGCACGAAGATTTCGACCAGTGGGCCTTGGACATTATGGTCAGATTCCGGTACGTTTCCCCCCCCTTGATTCACTCCCCTGAAGTCTCACCACCTTTCCACCACGAAACGAACCGCAAAAATACTGATCAATTCACAAAAAATCAAATAGAGAAAACGAAACACTCCAGCAGCTCAACGCCCACCGGCAATCCGGCGGCGAGCGCGCCGTCTCAACAATCTTCTTCCTCATGGCCCTCCAGTCGATGGCGCAGTCGCCCTTCCGCGTCGTCGACGAGATCAACCAGGGCATGGACCCGCGCAACGAGCGCATGGTGCACGAGCGCATGGTGGAAATCGCCTGCCGCGAGCACACGAGCCAGTACTTCCTCATCACGCCCAAGCTGCTCACGGGCCTGCGGTACGACCCCAAGATGAGGGTGCTGTGCATCGCGAGCGGGGAGCACATGCCCGAGGACGGGACGAAGCTGGATTTTGGCAAATGTTTGAAGATTCAGAAGAGGCTTATGGCGGCTGCGGCCTGATTGGTTGATTGATGTATAATGTGTTTTTTTTTCTCTCTTATACCTTGAGACTTAAGGACTTGGGGTGGGCTCTGGTGGTTTGGTCGATTTTAATGAGTTATGAGTGACAAAGGGGAGGGGGGCGTTGGGAGGGCCCTTTAAGCGCTTAAAACTTTCCATCAGAAAGTGCGCATGGATCTGTTGAGCGATAGATACCTGAGCAACTACGTAGATACTGGAGCTGCATATATGGCCACACTATTGTGCGTAATGCGAATACAAGGCCAACTGACATAAAGCCTCATTTTTTTCTTCTTTTTCACTCGGCATCCATAACATGCTAACACGTTCACAATATCACGAAAATCAGAGACACACGTAGAGTCAAGTTTGCTTATACAGGACCAATGCCAATTCATCTCTCGTCATTTACTAAGATAGTAGTAGAGTAGGTAAGCCAAACCATGCAGAAAACTGACACGGTTTAGATAGATAACACGCGACCAAAGTGAAGAAAAAAGCATCCCCTTTTTGGCATGATTTCCTTGATTGAAACGTCGCCCCCCCTTCCCCCCCAAAGCGGGCTTCAACCCCTCCAAAGGGAAAGGAGAACCACAAGAGAGACGAAGAACAAGAAGAAGAAGAGTTGAGGCCCATGCAAGGGTGGAAAAGACGATGCATTTTCTTTGCCTCCCCGATTATTGTACACACAAAAAGGCAAGGATCCCCTCCAAGGTAAAAGGGGGGGGGGGGGGGGTTGAGATGAAACCAACACAGAACAGGAGCACAACACGATATAGAGAAGACGGCAAAAAGTGCAACAAGATAGAATGGACAACTGAATGAAGAAAGATGAAACACAAATAGACGATATCGCATTTCAGAAATAACAAGAGATCCACATCCCTCCTTGTAGAGAGCAAGCACATGCGTCGTACGCAACAGGCCGTTATGTGTATCATATCGTAACAGGTTAACCAAGGCTCATCTTCAAACGAGCCGTGTAAATCGAAAATCGAAGATAAAACGAATTAAACCGGTATTAAGGAGAGAAGAGGAATCGAATAATTCAAGGTATACTGGTAAAACAACAGTGACATTGAGTCATTTCAGTGACGTGGTATAACTTCGACCATTTCGAATGGCGAAAATATCCGGGCGGGGGGGGGGTTATATCCGGACCAAGCCTTCAATGGACGGCATTGGAGAACCCCCAACGATGATCGGAAAAGGCGTGGCAGAGGCGTCAGAGTGGGTATAGGATGTCATGCAAACGTGGCAGTATCCAAAACATCAGCCTTGCTTGGGCTGATCCGTGTCAGGGTGGTTCTCCGTGTCGAGTCGCTTCCTCCATTCCGCAATGCTACCGCCCATGCCCAAGCCGGTAGGGGTGTCATCCTCCCTCTTGGGGGGGTTGGCAGAATCGAAATCAAAGTTTGTGCTCAGGCGGTAATTCTTGTTCGTCGTCTCCCAGTGGTTCCGCAGAGTCTCGAGCTCGCTGGCCAGGTTGTCAAGCGCAGCGCTATTCCTGTTGCCCGCATTGTCCCCATACATACTCTCGCCGTCAGAGCTTTCATGGCGGTGGTGGCCCAAGAGGCTACTGAGGCCGCTGAGGCCCAAGCCATTGGCGGCTGCCAACCCTTCGGCGTTTATGCTGACGACGTTTCGGCTGCGGCGACGATAGGTGTCGACAGAGTGCTCGACTTGGTCCAGCAGAAGCGAGACCTTCTGCTCGGCGTCAGATGCGCGTTGCTCGAGGAGGGCATTCTCAGACTGCAGCTGCTCCAGCTCCTTGCGCTGCGTGGCCAGGGATTTTGTGGCCTCGTCCCGTTGCCGCTGACTCTCTGCCAGCTCAGCTTTTAGGTTTTCAAGGTTCTTTTCAAGCTGGGCGGCGGAGTCATGGAACTCGGCTTCGAGGCTAGATATCTTGATCTGAAGGTCAGCACGCTCCTTATCCCACCCGGCCGAACCAGGCTCGCCTGGGCCGGCGTTCAGTCGATCCTCAAGCTCCACAATATCCGATTTCAAGCGGCCATTCTCCGTCTTGTAGCGGGCCAGCTGCTCCTGGAGCTGCTTCAGCATCTTCTCCGTTCCCTTGACATAATGCACAGCCGATTGATAATCACTCTCCAGCTGCGAGAGCTTCTCACGATACGCAGTTTCAGAATCCTGGGCTTGGATGGCGAATGTCTGCTTGGCCTCTTCATGAGCGGCACTGATGCTGGCCAGCTGAGCCTCGAGCTCGCGCAGGCGGCTTTGCTGCTCCGGAGAGTTTGTTCGTGGGCTCTGAAGGCCACGCGATCGAACAGCACCGGTAGGGCTGATGCCTCGCTCGATGAGAATATCCCTGAGGGCGTTGTGCTGCACAGTCATTGCGTTGGTTTCGAGCTGCTGGGCGGCCAATTGGTTCTTGAGGTCGGAATGAGCGGCCTGGAGGCTCTGGTTCTCCCGCAAAGCGGACTGGAGCTGTCGACGAATGCCAACACCTTCGCGGCTGGACTGCTCCTGGTACTGCTCGAGACCGGCAATGCGCTCTTCCGCGCTACGCAGTCTATCAGCAGCAATATCTGCCTCCTGCTGATACTTCTTGACCAAGGCGTTCGCAGCAGCGAGCTGGTTCTGGAGCGCAACCGCGCGCTCGGCATCTGCATTGTGCGTAACCGACTCGTCTTTCAGTGCGAGCTTCTGGAGCCCAGACAGAACAGCTTCCCGATGGGTTCGTGCTTCGGTGGCATGCTTCTCGGCAAGCTCTTCAGCATCTCGCAGGCGTTGGCTCACAGCCACGAGTTCTGCCGTGCGCGCTTCGTGCTCGGCCTTGAGCTTGCTCAGCTTGCCTTCAACCTTCTCTCTCTGGGCTCTCTCCTCCTCAAGCTTGGTCTCGAGATGGGCGCTTGCGTCCTGCGACGCTACAATGGCGGCCCTGAGAGATTCAAATGTCTCCTCCCGATCATTGGTTGAGTCGGCAACTTCGTCAAGTTTTCTTGAGAGGGCCTCCTTTTCGACCTTGAGCAGCTCCAGAGCGGTCACAGCCTCGGTGCTGGCCATTGCCTGCTCCCGGGCTTCGCGCTGCGCAAAGTGAAGCTCTGCCTTTAGACGCTCGACTTCTCCAGACGTCTGCTGCTTGTACGCCTCCAGATCCATCATGCGCTTTTGGATGGCCGCTGTTGTGTCGTCAGCAAGCTTACGAGCTCTCTTCTCAGCATCGAGCTCGGACTTTGCCGACTCCAACTGCGACTGGAGACTCTTTTGGTGGTTGAGGGCAGACGCCAGCTTCCTGCTCAGTTCTGCTGATCGCGCACCAAACTCGTCTCGCTCGCCATCGGGCTGGGGCGTGCTAGATGCGCTGCCACCGCTCTGCGCGGCCAGCTTGGCCTTGGCATAGACTGCTTCTTGAATGGCGACGTCTCGCTGCCTTTCCGCTTCAGCAATCTGCTTAGCAGCGACAATGGCCTGCTTATCCACAGCATTCTGCACGTTCGCCAACTCTGTCCGCATAGCTAGAAGGGCCTCAATCAAGGGTCGGTCCTCGTCATCGAAGGACTCCACAGCCTTTCCGTCCAGTGCAGGTCCCATGGAAGCGTTGGGAACATAGCCCGCTTTCCTGGCCAGCTCGAGCTCTGAAGCATACCACGCATTGCGGTTCCGAGCATTATCAAGCTCCTTTAGGAGGGCCACGGTTTGGGAATTCCGGCCAGACGAACGTCGGTTCAGCGAGGCGCTCATCGGCTTGGGTGCTGAATGCGGCGGCGATGCTGGTCGGTTTGGCGCAGGCCTTTGCATCCCTTCAGGGGCCGCTCTGTGCGACGCGTCTGCAGTGGGCCTTTGAGCCGCGTCAGGTGTCGCTCTCTGGGCGGCTTCCACCACGCTGTCGATCGAGCCCGGGTTGCCTGGACGAGGCTTGCCCCTGGGAGGTTCCCCACCCACGGAGCTCTGCCTTGAGCCTGTCCTTGACACTTGGGTAGGCGTAGACGGGCCTCGTCGGTCGTTGATGGGACCGCCCGCGGCAGACATATGGCTTGAAGGTGTGGGCGTGGTCGCCTCGCCCTCGGGTATCGTCTCGCGGGCTATTGGTGACGGGGCGGCTCCCATCTGTGGCGAGCCCGTCGCCGCCGCGCGATCAACCGACGCACCTCGAACACGTCCCACGGCAGACGGGTCGGGGCCAGGCTTGGCGGGAGTAGGACCCTGCGGAGGCGGTCCAGATGGACTAGCAGTCGCAGAGCCTCTGGGCATCTGCATCTTGTTTCCGGGACCCGGGGGTCCTCCATGAGGCGCTCGTGGCGGAGCGCCAGCGGGAGGAGGCGAGCCCGGTCCTCCTGCAAGGCCTGGAGAGCCACTTGGATCCATACCGCCTGAAGCAGTTCTCCGACCTTGGGGACCGCTAATGCTTGATGGGCCGCCGACTATCGCATTCCCGGAGTCAGGGGGGGCTCCTCCGTTGGACACATCGCGCAGTGGTGGCTGTCTGTTAGGGTTCGCTGCATCGCTAGGTCGCCGGGCCTGGGGGATCCTCTGGGGACCTCCTGGAGCATCATTAGGATACCGAATCTTAGTAGTATCCAAGACATAGAGGATTCCAAGATCGTTGGTAGACGAAGAAGCAGTGCTAGGTTCTCCGCCAAGCACCACAATGGACTTTCCAACCGTCGTCATGCTGTGGCCGGACCGAGCGGAGGGAGAAGGGCCCATGTTCTGGAAAGTATACCACCTCCGCTGCGTGATGCGGAACGCGGCGAGATCGCCCAAATCCGTACCCTCCTCAGTTCTACCTCCGAAGATATACATGACATCGTCCACCAGAGCAGCAGCGTGGCCCTCGCGAGGCGCAGGTATGTAGCCAATGCAGTCCAGCTGCGCCCACTTGTTGACTGCAGGGTCGTAGCACCAGACGTCATTGAACCATTGGAAGCCGTTGGTTCCACCAAACCTAGCAAGAGTGATTAGAAAACCGCCAGATTCTTATCGGGCCGGTGGACTCAACATACAGGTACATCTTGTCATTGAACGTCACCATGGAGTGATTCGTTCGGGCGGCGGGCATCTTGGGGCTCGCCTCTGCTTTGAGAAGAATCTCCCATCGGTTCGTTGGCGACTGCAGTTGGTTGAGATCAAACGCGGAGAGATCGTTCATAAAGAACCCTTCAACCTGACCACCAAAGATGTAGATCTTGGAGCCAAGAATGTTGAGAGAATGGCCGTATCGCCCCGACGGACGCGGGCCTGCAGGTAGGGCACGGGACCAATGCCGTGTTGCTAGAAGATCAAGCATCGTTAGGACTCTTGGCGGCCTTGCTTTCATGACATGGGTGGAGGCTCACAAGTATTAAGTAAATATAGTGTCTCATCCAAGATGTCGTTGTCGTCAATTTTCGTATCACCACCATAAACAATGAAGGCGTTGCCAACCAGCAAACTGGCATGGCCAACTCGAGGCCCTGGGCCCTCAGCGGTTGTCGCCAGAGGGTAGCAGTTGGCGCTACCGCCAGCCTCGATCATCCAGAGATCGCCTTTCACGGTTGAGCTGTTGATCAAACCACCCATCATGTAAACATCTCCTTCCTTGGAGGCGACTGCGTTGACGGCGGCGCCATATCGCGGAAACGGGCTCGGATGGGATGAAGTGTATGTCAACCGGCGCTGCGACCAGGGATAGAGCGAGGCGTTGTTGTTGCTCACGGGAGGCGGGTTCCGAAGCTTTGAAGATTCGTGCGTGTTAGATGTCACTCATGCATACCTATACATGGCGGCGGCCACCCCATGGTCACATATATTGGCTCCAGCTTCGGGGTCACTCACAGGCAAATCGCTCGTCGGCGGCGTGTCCACGCTGCCTGCCCGGCGGACATGGGACTGGCCATGATCCGGACTGGCGGTGCCGGCGTCATTGTCGATCGAATGCAGGCTTCCCGTCGGCGTCGCGCGCTGCAATGCTGCCTTGTCGTCTTTGGCAACGGCGCGCCCGGGGGCGTTCTGGATGGACCCCTGAGAACCCGAGCTGCCGTCGCGACTGGTTACCGTGCGGTCCTGGTGCTTCTTGGACTTGAAGAGGAACGCCATGGTCGGCTGCGGACCGCTCGCTGGCGAAAGGGACGGCGAACAGCGGCGAGATGACGGTCACTGGCCGGCGATGGGCGATGGGCGATGGGGGGGAGGGTTGTCGGGGGCGTAACGTAACGTAACGAGCGTGGTGAAGGGCGAGGAGCTTCAAAGGAAAACGGCAACGAGAGGATGGCGCGCGCACGCACACAAAGACGCGGACGGCTCAACAAAGGCCCAAGGAGTGACTGTGAAGAATTGCTATGAAAGAAGGGGGTCGACGCTCGAGTGTCGAGATGGCTGGGCAAGCATCTGTGGGAGATATCCGGGGGAGAATCGCCGAAATTTCAGTGGCCACCTCTTCTGGGGGAGGAGCAGATGCGAGTTCGGGGGGAGAGCGTCGTTTGCTCTGCCGTTCGCGAGCCTGCGGAATGGAGATGCAGAAGCAGACGCAGCTGAAGGCCCGCGAGCTCGCAATTGCTCAGAGACGGTGCGTGAGGACGGTCCAGCCCGGTGGGGAGAGGGGAGAAGAACAGAAAGAAAGGCTTGAAGTGAAGCCACCAGACAGACCAGTGCAGTGGATAGTAGGTAGTAGGTAGGTAGGCAGGTAGGTTAGGTGGTTGAACGAAGCTCGCTGGGGGGCCTCGTTTCTGCTGCTGGGCTCGATCCATGCGTTTCGAACTCCTGTCACAGCGCCAGGGCCTGCGCAGCGGGCCAATTAGCGGGCGACGCTGCCCTGAGCGAGCATTTTTAGGGGCTGCAGGCTCACCAAATGGGCACTAGGCTCCTGTAGGCTACTGACGTACTGCCGTGCAAGCGGGAGGCCAAAACAGCGCGGACTGCAAATCAAATATGCGCACCTTTGGCAGCATCAGGAGCACTGCTCAGCCAGCCAACTACCCAGGGTAAGTGCGTGTATAATTGCTGCGTTGTATGTCTGGAACTGCCCGAATCCGCGTTTTTTCTGGTCACCACCTGCGTGCCTCAGCATGGCTTTGTGGGGGGGTCGGAGATGGCGACGATGTGGAGCTGGTCAGAAATCAAGGGGCACCGACAGGCATTTCCGCAGTCTGCCAGCCAATGCTCGCCGTTTCGTCTCGAGGCTCAGGGCCAGGAGTCCACTGCTGACCTCATTGTGCTCGTGCCTGCATGTCCCGTGTCGCTTGTTGAGGCCAGACCCCGTCGACGTGCTTGAACGCGGAAATGCGGTGCAGAGGCAACTTTAAAATTTGGGCGCCCGATAGACTCGAGTTTCTGTACAGTAATCCACAGGTCACCACCAAAGCACTACCTACCTACAACAAACCACCTACAGTACTACAGGTATCACCAGTAGCCCAAATACAGGCATATCATCGTCCATCTTGGACATACGGTACAATTATCCTCCTTACGGTACTAATCAATGCACAAAGCACGAGCAACGAGCAACGCCCCCCTCCGTAGCCGCCCGGCAATTCCATCGCTGATCACCCATCGCTGTTGGCATCAACCTTTGGAGACTCGGGCTCATTTCCTCCCCTTTATTGTCAGTGCTACTTGTCACTGCGACGCACCGTCCCTTGAGGTACCTTGTGTAGTATTATTAGACCTGAAAAGCCTTGGCTGAGCCGGCTCGCTCCAGCCGCACACATTATAGATACCAGACACTTTATGAGCCGCGCCCACCAGCAGGGGGCAGCCTCGTCGATCACATTTGCCATTCCGCCCTAGGCCTGGAATGGGGGAGATTTGAGCCGTTGCTTCACGTCCTCGGTGCAACACCTGAGACCATCGCAGCCGAGCAGTGTCCGTTCCTCGACGACGGTATTCCCATACCCAGGGTACTCGAGGTATTATCGAGGGACAATGCACAGCGCAACCAATGGCCAAATTTCAGCAGCACACTTGATCCTTTATGTGGTCTCGGCTGGCATCCGGTACGACCTCTGCCCAATATCTGAAGTCTACTGCTAGTACTTAGTACTGTGATAGTAGTTGGACGCGCACAGACCGCTTCACCTTGATTCCTTCTTCGAGTGCTAGGCCCTAACAGGCTACCGTCGAATGCAAAGGATTGAAACATCCCATATTCCAGCACTGTGCGTTGCTGCTCTTCCATCCTCAGCGCCGTGCTTCGTGGACTTTACAAGGTTGCATCCCGCTTCGGTCTCTACCAAATGCTCAGCGCTGTGTAATAGGCACTTGGACACGGCTGAATTGTCGATGACGGCCGATCACTCACTTACATGCCGGCTCCTGGAAGTCAATATGGCAACCAGACAGCAAGGCGGCTAGCATCACATGCCAGTCTTCCGGATGGTGGACGAAGCATGCTGAGAGTACTAACAACACCCGGTTTTCCAAGGAGCTGCAAAACGTACAGTACAAGTAGTAATACATTCAGGCTTCCATGCTTTGGGCTTACAGGGGATGCCCAAGAATAGCTCAGCCTAGGCCATCGCCATCGGATTCTAGATCCCCAGAGGAACAACGCCAGATTAGTCGGCACGAGGGTCCGAGGACATCTCGAGATAAGATCACGTGCTTCATATCGACATCAATTAGGAGGAGCTGCTCGGCTAGGCCAGGTTCAAGGGTCCAGGTTAGCTTTGGCAAGGACGTAAGACAGATTTATCAAGAGTACTTATGTATATTGAAATCGTGGTCATGAAGCTGCGTCTTCCTGGTAGTTCTTGGTGGTTGACATGCGCGAGAAAGGCTTGTCGCGGGTTAAGCTTCTTAGCGTCCTGCTCTATACATCACGTCCGACGTATGACGAGGGGGCTCAATACTTGACACTATGCTTACCAGCTCACCCTGCATATCATAATCCAGCACACCCATACATGAAGCCGCACTCTTTCAGCGTCGGCAATGAGTTGAAGAAGAGTATTCATATCACAATCAAATTCAGAAATCATGGTAATGGTAGTGAGCACATGAAGGAGAATGATTCTTATTGCTGCCTTGGGTCAATAGTCCCCGGGTAGGTAGAAACTAGATCAAGCCACACGACGCCAATGACAGAGCTCTGGTCAGTAATCCCATCCGGGCTGCTACTGTTGCTGCTCTTGTTGGACGACCTTGGGCCGAAGGGACTGGATAAGCCCGGCTTTGGGTAGCAATGCAAACGTGCAGGCGCCTCGCGTGTAGGCGTGCTACTCGGCATCTTACCGACTGAAATCCTGCACTTTACTCGCGGCCGTAGTGACAACCCCAAGAGGCACAGATGCACGCCTGTGGGCTGTACGACGACCCAGCGGCCAGTGAGCGCCTTCTCAACAGGTGCTGCACCGTGGCACTGGCGAGCGTGATGCGCAGTTGTCAAGACCTGTAGCATGTAGTAGTAGATAACCTGGTAAGGTATATTACGAGTAATAAGCCATCTGATAGGTGTAATACTCGAGGTATGCGCTGGCTGGCTGGCCTCGCCGGAAGCCAAAAAAAAAAGCAGCTGCATGTGCTGCCCTGGAGTCACCCTGCCTTTTTTTCCCTGACGCTTCTCCAAAACTCACGTCTTTCCATCACTTCCATCACCTCCGCCATCGCCATTCGCGGCATCGATTCCGGGCCGACGAAGGGCAGCATCTCTGTTTGCATTTCACACGCACCGCTGAGTTGAGCCGAGCACATACATGTTACATTACATACACAGGTAGGCCGGACGAGCTGCCCGTAATCCTAGCATACCTACTAACCTTAGCATGGGGGGTGCTTCAGTATGACGATTTAGAACCACCCAGAGCGATACCCAGTAGCGCTCCACTTTGGACCGCGACCGCCAATACTACTTTACCTACCTACCTACTCATGTCTCTGCCTCAGCAGCAACCTGAACACTTCTCGCCTCCTCGGCATCTACAGCAACGCGCCCACAGCCCTGCAGGAGCCACGCCCGCGCACCCCGACCATCACCACGCTCTGCCCGCCCCGTTGCCCGCGCGACTAGACGACCTGCGAGCCGCGGCCCATGGCCATCCCGCCGACATGACGCAGCGATCTGGTGCAAATGGCTCACTCCCATCCGCCGCCGCCGCCGCCGCCGCCGCAACCCTCAACGGCAACGGCAACGGCAACGGCAGCGGCGGTGAGACGTCGAGGTTCAAGGTCCAGTCCGCCGCCAGCTCCGACCGCGACTCCCAGTCCAACGAGCCCGTCGACAGGCGGCCATCGAGCGCGCCCGGCCGCAAGAACGGCGATGCCAAGGACGACCACAGCATCGAGCCCGAGCGACCGACCCGGCCAGCGAAGCCGGTGCTGCAGCGCTCAAAGAGCGAGTACGCACCGCGGCAGGTGGAGGAGTCGGATCACGAAGAGGACGAGATTCGCGAATGGGGCGCCAGACATGGCTTTGAAGACCATTATCAGTCGGAGCATATCATTTCTCAGCTTGCAAATGTACGTTGTCTCCAAGCCTCTGTTACCTACGCCCAGATCTCCCAATCGCCTTGAATGCCTTCAACGCCTTCGCCTTCTACACCTATACGGCTGCAGCAATATGCAATTTGCCATCTGCTGGGCCTGTTTACGCGCTTCTGCCAGGACTCTTGCTGACATTAGGCCTTAGAATTGGTACATGTATTTCACAGACAAGCGGCACGAAACAACCGCCAAACCCAAGGCGGTGCAGTACGAACTCCAAGATTGGCGCCAGCGAGACAGGCTGAAGACGGTTTCGGCGGCTCTAGCAGTGTGCTTAAACATAGGAGTCGAGCCTCCCGACCAGCTCAAAACCAACCCGGGCGCAAAGCTGGAGGCCTGGACCGACCCGACCATTCCTCCCATTCAGAAAGCTCTCGAGAACATTGGAAAGTCTCTCCAGGCCCAGTACGAGACTCTTGCGATTCGAGCGCGTTACAAGCAGTACCTGGATCCATCGGTCGAAGAGACGAAAAAGTTTTGCATCTCCCTGCGGCGCAACGCCAAGGATGAGCGTGTGTTGCTGCATTACAATGGCCACGGGGTGCCCAAACCGACGGCGTCGGGGGAGATTTGGGTGTTCAACAAGACCTACACTCAGTATATTCCAGTATCATTGTACGATCTGCAGCAGTGGCTCCAGGCCCCCACCATCTTCGTCTGGGACTGTTCAGAAGCCGGCAACATCCTCAACAACTACCACCGCTTCGTTGATAAGCACGAGGAGGAGGAGGAGGAAGCCGCACTGCGCGACCCCCATTATGTCAAAACCAACTACAGACCCTACATTCATTTGGCTGCGTGTGCGGTCAAGGAGAACCTTCCCACCAATCCCCTGCTGCCCGCCGATCTCTTCACATCGTGCCTCACGACACCGATCGAAATGGCACTCTGGTTCTTTGTTTTGCAGAATCCACTCAAGACGAACATCACCCCCGAGCGTGCCAAGAAGCTCCCAGGGCGTCTGCAGGAGAGGCGGACACCTCTCGGCGAGCTGAACTGGATCTTCACGGCCATCACCGACAGCATTGCATGGACCACGCTGCCTCGCGACCTGTTCCGAAAGTTCTTCCGCCAAGACCTCATGGTGGCGGCCTTGTTTCGAAACTTTCTTCTTGCGCAGAGAATCATGATGGTGTACGGGTGCCATCCTCAGTCATACCCAGCTCTGCCAGATACCCATCAGCACCCGTTGTGGGCAACATGGGACTTGGCCGTCGACATGGCCCTGGCACAGCTGCCCATGCTGGAGCGCAAAGAGAACGAAGGCATCGACTACGAATACCAAAACTCATCCTTCTTCACCGAGCAACTGACTGCTTTTGACGTCTATCTCACTAGAGGCGATGCCATGGCCCAGAAGCCGCCTGATCAACTGCCGGTCGTCCTTCAGGTTCTGCTGAGCCAGCAGCACAGGGTACGGGCCCTGATATTGTTGGGTAGGTTCCTCGACTTGGGTCCTTGGTCGGTGCAGCTGGCTCTCAGCATTGGCATCTTCCCGTATGTCCTCAAGCTGCTGCAGTCTGCCGCCACCGAACTGAAGCCCGTCATGGTCTTTATCTGGGCACGACTCATCGCCGTCGATATCTCGTGCCAACAAGATCTTATCAAGGACAGCGGGTACAGCTACTTTGCGCAGATTTTGAAGCCATCCGAGGCGCTGCCCGTCGTCAATGGCGATGAGCACAAGGCCATGTGCGCGTTCATCCTCGCCATGCTGTGCAAGGGCTACCGAAACGGCCAGATGGTTTGCAACCAGACGGAGATCATGAGCTACTGCCTGACACACCTGCAAAACGACAACAACCCTCTCTTGCGTCAGTGGGCTTGTCTCTGCATCAGCCAGCTGTGGCAAGACTTGCCCGAGGCCAAATGGCGTGGCATTCGCGAAAACGCATATGCCAAGCTGGCATTCCTCACCAAGGATCCGTGCTGCGAGGTTCGGGCGGCCATGATCCACGCGCTCACCACGTTCCTCGGGATTCCTGACCTGACGGAGGAGGTTGCGCGGATTGAGGAGTCCATTGCCTGGACAATTCTCGACATGGGCAATGATGGTAGCCCAATTGTGCGCAAGGAGTTCTTGGTGTTCCTGTCCCACTTCATCGTTCGCTTCGAGAGCAAGTTCCTCGTTGCCGCCTACGAGCAGCTCCTTGAGGAGAAGGAGTACCTGGTATTCCCTCCCCAGGACGACGGCCAAGACCACAAGATGGGCCTGCATTACGCCAGGCCCGACAACCGCCAGAGGGACGGAACCATCAAGCCGACCGCCCACGGACTCTCCCACAACACCGTTTACATGGCCTTCTGGAAGCATGCCTTGATTCTGAGCGTCGACCCTCATCCGGAGGTGCAGCGGGAAGCTACTATTGTCATTGACTACGTCCACAATGCCTTGATCAACTCGACTCTCGGCGAGGCAGCCCACGCCGTGATGGCAGAGGTCCAGAGGAGGGCAAACAGGGCGACGCGCAGCAGGAGCACGGTGAGCTTGGGGCAGAGGACCAACGGCACCCTTGCCCCCCAGCCATTGCAGTCTCCCGGCCTGCTGCGGCGGACGGCCAGCCTTCTCTTCCAGTCCTTCATCACCACCGAAGACAAATCGAGACCTACCACCCCCAACAGCCCCGCTCCGCCAAAGTCGCCCTCGGCCAAAGTGTCGCCCGATCGGATGGCTGCCCCCCCTGAACAGATCGACTACTCGGGCCCTTCGGCGACGTACCACACTGCGCGGGAGCCTGTCTCGGGCACCTTTGAAGAGCGCGACCTGACCAAGGAGCCAACTCTGCCGCTCACGAGCAAGTTCCTCGAATGGTCCATTGAGTATTTCCGTGAGCCTCAAATGAAGAACACTGAGGCGGATGAACCCGGCAGTACCGACTACAATGAGAGGCTGTGGCGAAGGGCGAGGAACGAAAACATTATGAGAGAAACGCAACCGCTCAAGCACATTGCGGGCACTCACAGGTGGAACAATCAGCTGGGCATCATCAACAATGGCGCGCAGCCTGCCAAGTTGACTTTTCACCAATTTGAGGATCACCTGGCCGTGGCAGATGACGCCAATACTGTCTACGTCTGGGACTGGAAGAAGCAGGGACGTCTAAATCGGTTCTCCAATGGCAATCCAGAGGGCTCCAAGATTAGCGACATGAAGTTTATCAACGAGGACGATCAGGGCCTTCTGATGACTGGATCATCTGATGGCGTAATACGCGTGTATCGCAACTACGATTCGGAGCAAAACATTGAGCTGGCGACGTCTTGGCGGGCGCTCACACACATGGTTCCCAGCAACGTCAACTCCGGAATGGTGTTTGACTGGCAGCAGGCGACAGGCCGCGTCCTCGTCGCCGGCGACGTGCGGGTCATCCGGGTGTGGTTCGCCGGGCATGAGACTTGCATCATGGACATCCCGGCCCGATCTGGCTCGTGTGTCACGTCTCTCACATCGGACCAGATGACGGGCAACATCTTTGTGGCCGGATTCGGAGACGGCGCCGTCCGCGTCTTTGACACGAGGCTGAAGCCGCAGGAGTCCATGGTGCGCAAGTGGAAAGACGAGACGGACCGCCAGTGGATCAAGACGGTGCACATGCAGCGCGGAGGGAAGCGAGAGCTGGTCAGCGCCAGCCGCAATGGCAAGATCAAGGTCTGGGACATCCGCATGGATAAGGCGCTGCATTCCTTCCAGACAACGCGGGACACTCTCCGGACGGCAAGCGTGCACGAGCATCTGCCTGTCTTTTCAGTGTAAGTTTGACTTGACATCCTCCCTGACCACTTGGGTTCGGAGGGACCCAGACAGTGTATCATGCATGACTGACATGTTTGTGTTCTCTCAGTGGAACTTCTGCACACACCGTCAAAGTGTTCAACCTAAGCCACGGCAGCGAGCTTTCTCGACTCGAACCGTACTCCAGCTTCCTGCAGCAGACCCGAGGGACCCCCATCTCGGCGACGGCATTCCACCCGCACCGCCCCATCCTCGGATGCGCAGCCCGAGGCGATCACCACATCAACCTGTTTACGTGCGAGAAGACTGAGCCGGTGCAGCTTGTTTAGCGGCCCAAGCCTCCCAGGCCAGCTGCCCAACGAGCGCCCCGTTCCTTTTCCTTGGTCCTCTGATGATGGCTGGACAGTTACCGTACCCCTTATCCCTTATCCTGCCTTTTTTTTTTTTTTTCCTTTCGATGATATCAAGCGCCCCGCAGTAACAATACAAGGGAAGGGGGACAGACGCTGTCACTAGGCTTCACGTGCTTTGAATAGATGCATTGATGTTGTTCACAAGGGTCTTGTGGCCTGACGTGTCTGTTGTTCCCCCTCTAGTTGTGCAAGTTCTCTTTTTCTTTTCTTCTCTTTTTTGAAGGAATGGCCTTGAAAGGGCTTCTGGGCTGGAATTTTGGCGTTTGGGGAAGAAGGACCTGTTTAATTGTAGGTATAGGTAGTGAAGGCAGATGACGGTCTCTTATTACTGCATTTACATTTTCTTATGACTATGACTTTGTGGGTGTTGATGTGCTTTAATTGTTGCAGGCGGGTAGAGTGTAGGTAAATTCGAGTAGTTTACGGGATAGTATTGCAATTCCCTTTCTTTCACGCTGTCGGCCCTGACGACGTCGTATACCGCGGCACTCGAGATCTGTATCTCGTGCCTTGTATGATCACGGGACGAAAGAGCTATCATACAAGGAAAATCGGAACTTGAGCGGAGATTGAAAGAAGGTAGACCTCGGTATATTATGAAAATACTGACAAGGGCGTTTGTGGTGGAGTTTGATGTAAACTGTGGAATTGAGTAGCCTTGAATCTTCGGTTCGTTGCCTTTGGACAGGTGAAACATGCAAGATAGAGTAGTATTTTCGTATCTGGGTTAATTAGAGGGTTCAGCGGCTATGCGCGAAACGGACATGGTTCATGTTTGGGTCATGGATGTAATCTCCGAGGGGGGTATTATTTCAAAGGTACCTTTATCTTTCTTTCTTTCTAATCCGAAGGTGGTCATTTCGATTTTGAAGGAAGAGGGCTTGTGAGTGGATAGGTTTACATGATTGATGGATATACATATATATATATATATAACTGGGCTGTAATGGCAGTAGTATCCTGGATAGCAAGGCACATGCTTTCTGTATAGGCAGTATCCGTTTGGCATTCCCATAAGCAGAGATGGGCCGAAACATACTAGCATGTACCAGAGATGCTGAGGCATCATCGCAGTTGGGTAGAACGTGATAAAGGGCTTTCCTTTCAAAGTGTTGTTTAGGTAGGGCGGCGCGGGGAGCGGCTGAATTGGCATGTCCGGATCTCGGCTGCTCGGGAAGCGCGTATCAGCAACCACCGGCGTTAGGGGAGGGGGTAAGAGAGAGAGAGAAATGTATGTAAGATCAGGCCAATTGCTGGGGGGAAAGGCCGTATTGCTGATGGGCTGAAGAGGAACGGGGGATGGATGCTGTGGATGTAGAAAGGCGGGAGGAGAGGTGCTTACATGAAGTGTGATTGATGGCGATGAATGTAAGGTAAGGTATGTAAGGTAGGTACCTATGTAGTCTTTGAGTGGGTAGGTAGGTAACCAGGTACTACATAGGCCGTGGGTGATTGGAGTTGCAGAGCTGCTGAAGCTCATTTGCATCTCGGTCGAGTGTGATGTGATTCTCGAGCAGATAGATATGCCAAATACCTTGTCTATCATGCTGGATATTGCTTCGACGCAGCGATGACATGTCATTGATGCCTGCAGTTTCTGGTGCGTGTTTCAGTGAGTGCATAAGGTATACAGACTACCTTACCTACCTCTGTAAATGTACGCTGCGGCATCAATGCGTAGAGCCCGCAGAATTTAGCTTTAGTCAGCCAGATAGAAGCTTTCTGCTGCTTACATGTACTGCATGTAGAGCGTCTACGGGCTGTTGTTGGTTAACGTGCCGGTGGATTGGTTTCTACAAGGCACAGACAGGAGGACACAGAGTTTAGTATGTCATGCTGATAGTGGCCTCAGGTCCCGTCCTGGTGCCTTGAAAAAAGCCACGCTGGCTGAGATGAGCTCGTTTCTCCCATTCGAAGCCGTTGTTGGTACTTATTATCTACAGATAAATGTTCATAAGGTACATATCTACGCCAACAGAATCCCTACGGTTTCGATGATGGAGGGAAAAGAAGAAGATCAATGAGAGCTGGACTCTTGACGAGGCAGAAATCAGCCTAGCGCCATTTCGTTTCTGGACCCAACAAAAATCTCCCCCGGAGCGCCACCAGCTCCGGCAAAAATCAAGCTCGAGGCCTCGTTGCATCCATGCGACAGGGGGTGGGCTGGGGGATGTACCGGTACAAGTTGGAGAATAGCGCAGCTGCCTTGAGGCTGAATCAACGGAGCGCGTCCCAAGAGATCAATGGCGGAGAGATCAATACTAGAGGTAGGTTCCATTGGCAGCCCGTAGGTAAGGTTGCGGGCGTTGGCGCACTAGAGCACATAACCTGAACTGCCAGCTCGTCAAGCTTCAGAGGGGCTCACTGCGCTAATGCACCTGTACAAGTACAGGTACAGCTACCGGCGCTCCTGTTGACCCGAGCCTTGGCTGCTGGACCCAGACTGCAGTGGATGGCTACGTAACGGTACGTACCGGCCTCTAGTAGCTCTCGCCTTGCCTTGCCTTGCTTGTCTCTAATAAGGCAAGCTCTCTCTCTCTCTCTCTCGCTCGCCCTCTCCTCTTCCTCCTCCTCTTCCTCTCCCTGCATCTGCCTCGACTGCACAAAGTGCTCGACGCCCAACTTGTCCAGCCCCAATCTCCTCTGCCTGGTTCTCCTCTCGACAACGACTTCTTTCCCTCCTCTCCCTCTCCCTCTCGCGTTGGCCCAGCGTCTCGACTCGACCATCGTCACATTGCATCACCACCAGCTAGAGCTGACTAGCTCGAACATACTGACACAGAAGCCGGACCCTCCCCCCCTCTCCCCCCCCCTGCAACTCCCCCGGCACGAGCAAAGCTATCCTCTGCCTCGTCTAATCTCCTTCGTGCCTGTCTGGCCCTTCTGTCCTTCTCCTTCTCCCGCTCCCATCATCCGACAGGCCCGCCGCCGCACCACCACAACCAGCATCACCATCAGCCTCACTTCACAATGACGGACTGGACTGTGGGCGTCATGCCCTTGACCCAGGTGCGCAAGCCGCCCTTCACCATCGAGGCCCCCGGCTACGAAAAGGTCCCCGGCGAGACCATCCCTCGTCGTCACCCGGCAGCCAAGGACGGCCTGCTCACCAAGCCCGCCGATGACGTACACACCGTCTTCGACATTGTCCGCCGCAGCGCCCGCGAGTACCCGAACCACCTCGCCGTCGGCCACCGGAAGCTCATTGAGCTGCACAAGGAGACCAAGAAGGTGCCCAAGAACGTCGACGGCCAGGTCATTGAGGTCGACAAGGAGTGGCAGTACTTCGAGCTCACCAAGTTCGACTTCATGACCTTCAAGGAGTACGAGACGCTCGTCCTGCAGCTCGGCTCCGGCCTGCGCAAGCTGGGCCTCAACGGCGGCGCTTCCAGGCTGCACTTCTTTGCCACAACCAGGTAAGCCATATGACGCCGTAGCACGGCTGGTTTCACGCAGCAGGGCATGGCAATGAAGCCCTCCTTGGGCGGCAAACATGCCAACCACGGCCAAACTTTTGCTAACGTGTCGTCCCCTCTTGCAGTGTGAGCTGGATCTCCATGTCCCACGCCTGTGCCTCCCAATCCATCTCCATTGTCACTGCCTACGACACCCTCGGCGAAGAGGGCGTCGAGCACTCCCTCGTTCAGACCGATGCCGAGGCCATGTACATCGACCCTCACCTCCTCAAGACGGCCGCCCGCCCCATCCGGAAATCAAAGGTCAAGACGGTCATTGTCAACGAGGAGTGCATCTTCACCTCTGGAGGCGAGATTGAGGCTTTCAAGCAGGAGAACCCTGATATCCGCGTCATCACGTGGGAAGACCTTCGCCAGCTTGGCGCCGACAACATGGTTGAGCCTCAGCCTGGCAATCCCTCGGATGTCTTCTGCATCATGTACACCTCCGGCTCCACTGGTCTTCCCAAGGGTGCCTGCATCACCCACGAGGCGCTCGTTGCGGGAGGTGTGTACCCCTCAAGCCTATCGCAACATGAAATTCAATGCTGACTTTCTGCCTGCTAGTTACCGGCCTCCTTGCCTCTGTCGGCGAGACCGTGAGCGACAAGGAGGTTGTCCTTGCTTACCTGCCGCTTGCGCATATCTTCGAAATGGCTCTCGAGAACCTCGTCTTGTCCATTGGCGGCTGCCTTGGCTATGGAAACCCCAGAACTCTATCCGATACGTCCATGAGACATTGCGCCGGTGACATGCGAGAGCTGCGGCCAACCGTCATGGTTGGTGTCCCTCAGGTGTGGGAGACGGTCAAGAAGGGAGTCATGGCCAAGCTAGACACTTCTAGCCCCGTCCTTAAGCACTTGTTCTGGGGAGCCTTTAGCTACAAGAGCTTCATGTCCCGCAACAAGCTCCCATTCGCCAGCGTCTTTGACAGCATCGTCTTCAGCAAGGTTCGACAGCTGACCGGAGGCCGGCTCCGCTTCACCATGAACGGCGCCAGTGGCATCTCGGACAGCACGAAGCAGTTCCTTTCCCTGGTCCTCGCTCCCATGTTGACCGGTTACGGCCTGACCGAGACCTGCGCCAACGGAGCGCTGGGCAACCCGCTCGAGTACACTGCCAACTCCATTGGCCCTGTCTCTGGCGCCATTGAGGTGAAGCTGGTGTCAATCCCCGAGATCGGATACTCTACCGAAGCCAAGGTTCCCCAGGGTGAGATCTGGATGAGGGGCCTTCCCATCATGAAGGAGTACTTCAACAACCCGGAAGAGACTGCCAAGGCTCTCACTCCCGACGGTTGGTTCAAGACGGGTGACATTGGCGAGTTCGATGCCGATGGTCACTTGCGCGTCATTGACCGAGTCAAGAACCTCGTCAAGATGCAGGGCGGAGAGTACATTGCCCTGGAGAAGCTCGAGGCTGTCTACCGCGGCTCCCAGATGGTCGCCAACGTCATGATTCACGCCGATCCCGAGCACAACCGCCCCATTGCCATCATCATGCCCAACGAGAAGGTCCTGGCCGACAAGGCGCGCGAGCTCGGCGTTGACGAGCACAGCATGCACCACGATTCCAAGATTCAGTCGGCCGTTCTCAAGGATCTGCAAACCGTCGCCAAGCGATCTGGTCTGTCTGGTTTGGAGACGATAGGCGGCGTTGTGATTACCGACGCGGAGTGGACACCTGATAGTGTAAGTTTGCATATTCCTCAGCTTGGCAGTGATTGTATGTATGTTGACTCTTTTTTTCTTTCTTTTTTCTAGGGCCTGGTCACTGCTACGCAGAAGCTCAACCGCAAAGTCATCAAGGAAACGTTCAAAAAGCAGATTGACGAGTGCTTGAAGCACGCCCCTTAGGGCCTCTGTGCAGACGCAACTTCTGGCGTGCATATATCGCTACAGTGTAAATGGATATGAAGGAAGAGGGAGGCGATGAGGATGATACCGCCGTCGTGATTCAGGGCCATGTAGCACGATGTGATTTTACTGTTTGCCTCGTTTGTTTGATATGCTCCTGGGGCGTGGACTTTGTTTAATGAATTTATACCACTTATATTTTAACTATGGCTTTTTCAGTCTCTTATCTGTTCTCTCAATCTCGAGAGCGCGTCATCTATCAAAATCTGCTGCATATAATCGATGATGCTCTGTCAAACGCTCGCTCAGACGCAGACTTGACTATATAAATCAAGATACCAGATTGCATCAAGAGGAAAGAGGGATAAAAACATAAACTGAACGCCGATTGATGCGCTTCTCCCCCTCCTTGACCCCCTCTCGCTAACCAAAACGTTGCTGTAATACAAAAGTCGTGACACGAGAAACGACGACTGTTACTATTCAAAAAATGACATGAGAAGAATAGCAAAAAGGAGACAAGAAAGCAAACGCAAACGCAAGAGCAATAGTAGTAGTAGTAGTAGTAGTAGAAGAAGAAGCTGAACAGACCCATAGGAGAGTCAATTCAAAGAAGAAAAAGGATAAATGTGTCTCCCCTCCCAAAGAACCGGCTATGTACACGCTCGCTGGGTATTTGGAAAAACAGGATACAAAGCAAGAAAAGGGAAAGAAAGCCACATTTCCCATCCCCCCCCTCCCCTCTTGTCTTTCTCTTCTGTCGCTCTCTCTTTTTCTAAGCGGTCTCTCTCTACTTTTGCGCCCCCTCTCCCACTGTTCATCATTCATACACATTACAAGGTATAGACGGGACTGAACTGCTTCGTGAAACAGGACAAAGATGAATGTTTCAGACAATGCTTTGTCGTGGTTGTCAACTTTGTGATGTTGACTGGTCCGATGTTTGTTCAATTATCCTTCCTTCTGAAAAAGGCCAGATACGGAACCGTGTCCTTGCCGGACTTGAACACTTGCTCCTTGTAGTCGGTGGCGTCGCCCGTGCCAATGCGCACCTTGGTCACCATCTCGTCCTCGCAGCGGAACCAGGCGTATGGATCGTGCGTGCTCGAGTCCCGCACGTAGGCGTAGTAGTGTCCGTTGTCTGTCCTGCCGCCGCTGTGGACGATGACGGCGTAGCACTCGTACTTGAATGGCCCCGAAAACGCTCTATCGCTCGAGCCCTCGCTTGTCCGCATGAAGAACGGAGTCAGGTCGACCTCGTTGAAGTCCCAGGTGACCCTGCCCGTGTTCTTCCTGATGTCCCCCACGGACTTGTCAAAGTCAAATCTGCGGAAACTCAAGCACAGCAGCGGCGGCATGCGGGCGAAGCAGGTGGTTTGCATCGCCTGGGTGTTCCTTTTGCATGTATCGCATGCAAAGTTGTCGAGCTTGTTGACCACATTGTGCTCCCGGAACGAGTCCTCGAGAGTAATAGCCCGATTGTTGCCGACGGGGGCAAAGACCAGGTCAAATGTCGAAAATGTGTGCGTCTGCTTGTGGCATCGTTGGCAGTCGACTGTCGAGAGTTCGAGGCCCCGCCAGTAGTCGTCAACGATGGATTGGTTCAGCTCTCGATAGTTGGTCCAGTACTCGACAGCAGCCTGCAAGCGCGCGTGAGGCGTCGTGCTCGGCTGTGGGATACTGCCCTTGACATTGCGGCGGGTGTTGGTTTCGTCATGGAGGTAGTCGAACAAAAACGACATGAATTCCTGAGCGTCCTGTTGCCCAGTGCCGCCGAACTGGGGGACGGTGGGACTGTTACGGCAGAGATTGAAGGAGTAGCTCTATAGCAGAGACAAGGTCAGCAATGGACATGGATGACGGAAAGCAAACCTTGATAGGCATGCCAAGGTAGAATAGGGGACAAGTCGGCGTACCATCAGCGTCGAGGCTTTCAAAGTCTGAAACTTGCCCATTGCCATCCACTGAAACAGATTGGATATTATCTTCGTCATCAGCTGCGGCTGCTCAATCTTCTCGCCATCCTTCCGCGGCACTTGGTACCTCTCAGACCACTCCGAGAGGGCCAGCAACCTCCCGAAAAAGGGCGATGCGAGCAATGATTGAAGGATGCTGTTCGCATAGCACCAATTATGGGGGTTGTTGAGGCCGGTGTAGTAGGTCTTCTCAAGGGGTGAGACGGCGGTAGCCGTCGGGACGCGCTCGTAGTACATGTCGTGGTCATCGACTGTCTGGGACAGACTGCTATAACTTGATCGTGGCAATGCCGGGGCTGGTCTTGTGGGAGGAGAGGGAAGATCGTTATATATTTCAACCTGGTGCGAGGGGGCGGCATAGCCCGGGGCCCTTTGTTGAGCAATGGCCGGCGAGGTCATTGACTCTTGCAGGGACAAAGACGGGAACCTTCTCAAGAAAGACTCTGTTGAACGGTGGAAAGCTTGTTCTGTGGCGTTCTCCGTCTCTTTTGCTTCGATTTCCACGGCTTGCTGCCAGACCTTGACTATATCAGGTCTTAGTGGCTTACCCAGATATTGAGAGGGCCGCCGCTGAAAGGGGCCCTGCCGCACCAGAGAGATTTTCTTGGGGTTGGGCGGCGCCGTCGACTGCAGAGAAGCCGAGCCCATGAGATCGACCCATGCATCCAAGCCTCCCTTGAGTAGCTTCGGGGCGTTTCGAAGCTCGGAGCCATAGCTGAGGTGTACCAGAGCGCGGTGGAGGGACGACAGCGCGGTGTCTTCCGTGCTCCACAGCGAGGAGGGTATCCTCTCCGAGTCCTGGTCATAGAATACAACCAGGTCGTAACTGGCTCGCCTTTCAAACTGCGTTTGCTCTTGACTCGGCGACAGAACAAGGCTTTCAGCAATCTCGTCAGCGGAAATATTTGGCCTGGTCAGGATGTTGGGATCGATGCAGATGGTGGAGGAGGACATGATGTGGCCTTCGTCAAAGTCCTCGCGAGCACGGACGTCTATAATAAGAACCGAAAAGCCCTTTGCTTTCATGGCCTCAAACAGCTCTTCTGGCGTGATCCGGTCTCCTTCTGGAATCTTGAAGCTACTCTCTGGTGGCGGTTGTGGACTGTCAACTCTTCCGTTCCTGGAGTGACTTCTTGATCGGGACGAAAAGTAGTCAGTGCCCTGCTGTGGTAACGGTGTGCTTGTCCCGCTGTTGACAGATACGATGGACCCTGCTCGGCTATAATTCCCCCGTGGCGTGGTGGGAGGAAGGCGGGCAGGATCTCCAGATATGCTGCCCCGCGCAGGGCTGTAAATTGCATCGGGCATCTTTGGCAGCGCTGGAATTGCACTGTCTAGGGACACCTTGGGACGAGGAGGGGGCATATCCCGAGGCCCAGCAGGCTTGGTTGGCGTAGGAACAATCTGGTGCGTCTTGATGCGAGGGTCCTGTCCTGGCGAAGGTTGGGGGCCCCGTAGATTCGCGAATCGTGCCGCAAGATCTGACATGGCTTGGGTCGATGAGGTAGCTGACGCGGCGGAGGCAGCACGGGCATGGCCTGGCTTGACAGCATGGCCCGTCAGCGATTGCGGCTTGGGGTGCACAGCGGGCTTGGATCTTCCAGGAGAGCCATTTGTATGAGGTTCGGCTGAGGGGGTATTATTCATGACTGATGTCGTCTGCGCCGAGTGGAGAGCGTTTGCGCCGGCTTTCTGCTGGGCCGAGGCAGCAACAGTCGGTTTCACACCGGTCCTCTCGTTATCTGCAATGATGTCACGCTTGATCTTTTCGTACACGTCACTCTGCTGGGCTATCCGTTTCAAGAGGGTTTGATGCCTTCGATTCCAGTCCGCGCGGCTGTTTTTAAGCTCGACATAGTCGCTGTGGGAGGGAATGATCTGGACGGTGATGATGGACGCCTTGACATAGTCCCTGAAAGCGAGGGCAGGCTTCCCAAAGTCGCGGCCCATCTCGGACTTTGCCAGCGTTGTTTCGGCCATGTCGAGCAGATGCTTCATGGGCTGGTTCCGGTTGATATCGTCGGGAAAAGCCACCATGTCGTCGATGTGCGGCAGGGGCGCGGTGGCACCGGGAGGAGGAGCATAGCCGCCGTTTCTGCCATCGTAGCCCGAGGGCGGCATGCTGTGCCTGGCATTGACGGCCATATGATTCCTCGCGCTATCGATCGGGTCCGCGGTTGTCATCGATGCAGGGTCGGTGGTGGAGAGGTCGAGAGGTCGGCTAGGAGGGGGAAGTGGGTGGACGGACAGCTGCCCGCGTCGGTTGGATGGCGCTGCTCCGGCGGCGGTCTCGTCCGTTTCGTGGAAGCAAAAGGCGTCAGCGGGGCGCACAGATCGGATCTGATGGAGGTCTTGTCATCTCAGGGAGGCAAGCATCGAGAGGCGCGACAAAGAGACCAGCACGGCTCCTATGACAGCGGCTTTCTGGGGCCCTGAGGAGGGGCTGAGGCAGCACAAAGCATTCTCGTATGACCGGGTTCCAAGACGCTTTTCGGCTTGAAGATGTAAAGCCAGTCTTTTTGGAAGCTTGGGTGGATGACAGTCGAAGTAGCCCGGCTTTTGTGTGATTTGCGGGAGGGCGAGGCTGGCGATACCTGGTGATGTAGGCGAAGAGTTGAGGTCAGCTGCTTTGTTTGGCTGGGCAGTTGGCCTACCTATTGAGGGCGCCACGACTGCTAATTAATGCGACCTCGCCTGGAGCCCGTGTTTAGCGGGAGGTACCAGTGCGGGCCAGTCGCCATACGAACGTGGGGTATAGGGTACACTAAGTTGCAGTCCCAGACTTTCCGTACCGTGGCGTATTGTATGACAGAGCAAGTATCTCCCCCCCGGTAATGGGTACCTGGAAGCGTCCCGCATGTGGCCACAGCTTAGAACAGGTACCTCCGAGCGGCGCCCGCCAAAAATCGACGCATCAGCCACAACCGGCGTCGTCATTTGGCTTGGCTGACGCTCTTCGTCTCTGCTCCTTGACATGTTCTTCATAAGGGATATTGTAAATGCACGAGCAGCTGCAATGCAACTTCATCTCTACATGATCGAGTTCTTGATGATGATGATGATAAAAGGCTCATGCTAAGTCACGGATTAACACAGTTCAGGGTCGGCGGGTTGACTGCTTCCCATCGCTACATAATTTCTTTTACGATGCCAACATGAAAACTCTTCTTATGGCTTGGAGCTCTCGTAGCTTAATAGTGTGCCAAGGACATTGCGTAGACTTCATTCGTCACCGTTAGTTGTATAAAGGTAAATGCCCCTTTTTGACGATCCAGGGACTGCACATAGACCTTTGATGCGGCATTCGTTTACCCTTATGGCAATTACCACCAAGCTCCTCTGCTTACACGAGCCGCTCTGGTCGGCACACACAAGGGAGGTATCTGCCACGACTTCAACCATACGAACCGAATCGCAGCTCGAACCTACCTAGTCACAAGAAAGCATCCAGCGACTATGTACCGTAGCTAGATACTGATTCGCAACAAGATGGGAGTGCCTGGCCACTTTCAGATTGACTTCTGCCTGGCAATGCCAATTGAGCTGCCCTCCAGTATCGTGAGACGGACGGAATTGGCTGGATGCCTGTGGAAAGCACTGCGCTGGCTGCCTGTATCCGAGGTATGCTGGCTATACAACTGCATCCCCATGGGAAGTCAGCGGAAGCAGATGCATTGCAAGCAGAGCAAAGGAACGACGACAGGAACAATGCCAGCATGCATCTGCAGAAACCACCCGCATTGCTGCAAACACGCATTTGTTCCGATTCGGTGCATGCAATAGTAACATAGGTACTCCGAGTGCACGGCAAGGCGACGCTCCATTTGCACCGTCAATTTACAGTTATTACAGGCTCAGGAACGGGCTGCCTCGGCGCATGCGGCGGATAAACCGCTGTTCCGGCGGGTGCCTCTGCGGGTGACGCAACCTCGCGACGTCGTCAGCGGAGCCGAAGGTACCTACTGTACCTACTACTACTACTACTACTACTACTACCTACCTACCTACCAGCACCAGCACCAGCACCGCTAATGAGGCGAAACAACCTCTCCGCCTTGTCCAGCCTCGCCATCTCGCTTCAGCTGCAACCCTCCATCGCCGAGCGCTGCCGCTTCTCCTCCCTTTCCTCTCAGCCTCTTGCTTCCTTCTCCCATTGCATCTCCGTCCCCGATACGTCCCGCCACCCTCCCTCTGTCTGACTGACGCGCAGCTCCTCCCGCCAAACCGCCCATCATGATGAGCTGGTGGTCCACCTCGGCCAACACGGCCCTGGACGAACAGATCGACAAGGCCACGAGCAGCAGTTTGTACGACGGCCCCTAGCTGGCCCCCTCTGCGAGCCGAGCCGCCGAGCTGACGACGATTCGTGTAGGGAAGACATCGCGCTCAACCTCGAGATCTCCGACGTCATCAGGTCCAAGACGGTTGCGCCCAAGGAAGCCATGCGGTCGCTCAAGCGGCGCATCGGCAACAGAAACCCAAACACGCAGCTGAGCGCCCTCAACGTATGTTTCTCCGACAAGCCCTTTCCTTTGTTCTCCTGTTGTTCATCCCGAGCTCGAGCACCGATCTGACACAGCTCTCCCGCCTGCAGCTTACCGACACTTGCGTCAAGAATGGCGGGTCTCACTTCCTCACGGAAATCGCCTCCCGCGAGTTCATGGACAATCTGGTCTCGCTCCTCCAAGCTGTCGGGCCCGTTGCCGTCAACGCCGAAGTCAAGTCCAAGATTCTGGAGCTGATCCAGTCATGGGCCGGCGCCACAGAAGGACGATACGAGCTCTCTTATATCGGCGAAGTGTATAAGCGCTTGCAGCGGGAGGGGTATCAGTTTCCTCCGCGAGTGACGGTGGCGAGCAGCATGATTGACAGCAGCGCGGTAAGATTTCCATCTCTTATCTGGGCACCGCGAGGACTGTCAGCTAACTGCAGGTGGAAACAGCCCCCGGAGTGGATCGATTCCGATGTTTGCATGCGATGTCGAACGCCCTTTACTTTTACCAACCGAAAACACCACTGCCGAAACTGCGGCAACTGCTTTGACCAGCAGTGTTCCAGCAAATCGCTCCCTCTGCCTCACCTAGGGATCCTCACCCCTGTGCGAGTAGATGACGGGTGCTATGCTAAACTCACGAACAAGGGGTTCAAGGAGCCGATCCCATCCCTCGACCGCACACCGACGTATCCTCACAAGACCCGCAGCACATCTGCCATGCAGCCTCGGAATGCGCGCGTCGATGACGGATTCGATGAAGATCTGAAAAAGGCCTTGGCCATGAGCTTGGAGGAAGTCAACAACGCTTCGCGCGGAAGAGTTCAGCCGCCGACTACCAACGGACCTAAGACGACAGGAGGTGATGCCGCCGCAACGAAGCAGTTTGAAGAGGAGGACGAGGACTTGAAAGCTGCGATCGCCGCCTCCCTGGCAGACATGGAAGAGCAGAAGAAGAGGCATGCTGCCGCGTTGAAGGAGCAGACCTCGGGGCCAGCCGCCTCTTCCTCTGCCACATTCACGCTGCCCAAGAACGACTATGAATTGACGCCGGTGGAGGCGGAGAATATCAATCTGTTTGCCACGCTGGTCGACCGGCTCCAGACACAACCTCCGGGCACGATTTTGCGAGAGCCCCAGATCCAAGAGCTGTACGACAGCATCGGATCGCTCCGCCCTAAGCTGGCGCGGACATATGGCGAAACGATGAGCAAGCATGGTAATCGCTTCGACTGTCCCGGTGAGTATATTCGATGGCTAACGTGTGAGTAGATACCCTCCTCGACCTCCATGCCAAGCTGTCTACCGTTGTCCGATACTATGACCGGATGCTGGAAGACCGGCTATCAAAGGCATACAGCCAGCAGAGTCTCGGTGGATACAACCTGCCACCTCCTCGCCAGTCCTCCGGACCCTATCCTTCAATACCTTCCCATGCTCCAAGCAACTCTGTCGGCGCCGAGAACTTTTACACCGGCCAACAGTCAGGCTATGCGCCACCTGGCCAGCCGCTGTACCAAATGCCACCTCAACATGCCATGCCGCAGTCCCCTTATCCGGCCTATGCTGGGATGCCTGCGCCCGATGCCATTCCCGCGACTTATCCCCCCCAGCAACAGATGCAGCCGCCGGACGGTTGGAACAACAGGGCCCCGCCTGCTCCCGAGCCGTACCAACAGCAGCCGCAGGAGACGCCGGAAGATCAAAGACAGTACCCTCAGCAAGCAGCTGTGTCACCGTCGACAGACCCCAACGCTTCGTACTACTTCAACACCTCACAGCCTATACAGGCCGCTCCCACGGGGCCATCTGCCCCCGGCTCCGCTCCGGACGCGAGTCCGTCGCCATATCCCAACTTGAACCAGTCGCCCATGCCTTACCACAGGGGCTCAGTGTCAGCACACACGCAAGCGACTCCTCTCCAGGCCCCCGCTCAACTCTCTCAACCACCCAATGCACCTCACATGCCTGCTCAATCCCAGGCCCCCTCTGCTCCGACACCCCCACAGCCGTTCCAGCAGGATATACCGCAAGGATCCCCCTATCAAGTTGCCATGCCACAGCAGCAGCAGCAGCAGCCTCCAGCCCCTCCGCCTGAATGGGCAGGATACTCGCAATACTCGATGCCCTCTGTGCCGCAGCAGGAGCCTGTGCACCAACAGCAGCCGGTGCAAGAGGAGGCACTCATCGAGTTGTGAGTGTTGTTCATCTACAGTGTACCTCGGGTGGTGGTGGAAGGGATTCAGGCGGCAATCGGTCATGACGGTGCGAGTTAAAAGTGACAATGGGGAGTTTGTTTGTTCTACACTTTCTATATCACTATTGAAGTGGCGTTTTCCCTCAAACGATGGCTGGGCAAAGATTGGCTGGTGGTGTTGACATGGAGTGTTTCCGTAGCCTTGTCAGAATGACAGTTGTGTTTCTCCAGGGGCATGTCTCCCGCTTACTACCTTGGTGATATGAGCAGAACCCTGGCAAGCGTCTGTCTACTTGGACAACCTGGATCAATGGTGGGAGAAGCCGAAGTAGCATTCAAAATGATAGGGTGCTCCGATCTAGGTGCTTGTTCTGTCCAGCCATTCAGACACGGGATCTCTGACACTAGGAGCCTAGCCGCAGCTCACTCCAGCCACAGCAACTACCTACTACCTACCTAGGTAGAGTGCAGGTCATCACTCAAACTCGGAGATGTGACCAATTGGGATAACCCGTCTTGCCGTTGTTGTCCTTGGCACGAAAGCCTTACCAACTCGTGCAAGCAATGTTGAAGGACCCAATTATATACCTAGATCAAAAGCGAACATTTTGACTGCTGAGCGTGTGCGTAAAGTGATGTCTCGCCAAGGAACCTTTTCTCTTGTCTATCCCCACAAGCACCATAAGATGACATGCATACCTACCTATCTCATCTACAGCAAAGCACTATTACATGTTCAAGGCAAAGTATGTTGAACTAAACAGAGTGTAAAACGTTGGCCATCTAATCAAAGCCGAACGGACCCTCGCCGGCTCCGGAGCGCAGAAAATAGGTAGTATGGCGAACAAAAAGAAAGAAGAAGAAGAGTGAGTGGCGTCTGGCTGCTTCGCCCCCCCTTCGGAGCCGGGCGACCCTCTCCGCTACTACTGTACCCACCCCAAGTTTTTTCCGTTCTTTCGAGTCATCGGTGCCTGCGAAACTTGCTCCGTAAAACGGGTGGGTTTTGCGGGATTGTGGAGTTTTTTGGGCAAATGTTTAGATGAGGTAGGCGAGCCGACTGTACGAGTAGATCAAGTATATGTAAGGCATTGTTGGCTGCCTTGTTTCTTGGCGGCTTGTCATTGCGATCACTTATATATATCTCAACGTCTCGACTGCATCTCATTTTCTTTTCTTGTCTCATACAAACCTCCTTATAAACCTCTCATAACCACATCACCAACAAACAGACCCCTCCCCCCCTCATACAGCACACACACACTCACACATAAAAATGCCTCCCACAATCCACCTCGTCCGCCACGCCCAAGGCTACCACAACCTCTGCCCCGAAAACGAAACCCTCCCGGACCCGGACCTCACCCCCCTCGGCCTCGAGCAATGCGCCTCCCTCAACGCCTCCTTCCCCTACCACGCCCAGCTCCGCGCCCTCGTCGCATCAGGCATGCGCCGCACCCTCTACACATGCCTCCACGCCTTTGCCCCTGATGATGATGCCAACAACAGCAAGAACAGCAGCAGCAGCAAAAAGTCCCCTCTCCTCCCCGTCATCGCCCTCGACACCCTCCAGGAAGTCTCCGACGCCCCCTCCGACACCGGCTCCAGCATCGCAAAGCTGAAAGAGGAATTCGGCGATAAAGTCGACTTCAGCAGGATGCGCGAAGGGTGGAACGACAAGAGCGAAAAGAGCTACTTTGAGCCCACGCTGGAGAAGTTAGCAACCAGGGCGAGAGATGCGAGGATCGCGCTGAGGGAGATTGCGAATGGGGTGGCGGGTGATGACGATGATGCGCATGTCGTTGCGGTCTCGCACGGCGCGTTTCTGCACTTTTTGACAGAGGAGTGGCATGGCATTACCAGCACATACCGTAAGTCGCCGCGTCCCCCCTTCATTCCCCAGCACTTTGCTTTCACAAAGAGAGAAAGGAGGAGGAGGAGGAGATGGAGGAGCAGGTGAAGGAAATGGGAGGATAGTCGGGTTGTCGTTAGCTAACCAGAGCGTAAATGTAGCCACAAGCTGGAGGAATTGCGAATACCGCACCTATCAATTCGTCGATCCCACGGGCCAGGACCCTGATGCTCAGCTGCGCGAGACGGACGAGAGCTGGCGCCGGCGTCACGGCAGCCTCAAGGTTCCCACCGCAGAGGAGCAGCGTGAGCTGCGCCAACTCATGGTGCGGGAGCTCTCGCCCTTTTTCAAAACGAGGAATTGATGAGAGAGGCCTTGGATCCTCCTTATTGAATGCACAGACGCGGCTATAGACAGTAGAAGACGCAGACGCACTCGTAGAGCAAGGTCGGCAGATGCCTCCGCCTTAGAGGCAGACAAGAAGACTAGACATAGACAACACACGGCTGGAGACGAGGCCAGAGAAGGTCATGACACTTAGAATATGCCTTTATAAAACAACAAAGACGAAAGAAGCAGTAATATAAATGGAACAACAGCATTCTGCGGAAAGAATGATGTCGATCCAACCGCAGTTCAACAGGCTGAGAGACGAGGCCTTCACCAAAAATCTTCGCCCATGCACATCGTGGTCTGTCTCTCAACCACACCTTCGCCGGTCGTTTTCCCTATGCTGGCGTGAGCACATCGCATCGTCTCCCAGCTGACAGGCTGAATTTCGTGAATCACGAGGGACCAGCCCAGCTCCGACTCTCCGTCTTGCATAACTTCGCAGAGGCAGTAGCAATTGTCGTCGGCCTTGGTCGCTTTGAGGAAGTCCCTTGTCTCATGATATTCACCATGAGTGAACATCTTCACGCCCGTGATATAGGGTGGTCCTCCAAACAAATCTTCCAACTGGAAGTATTGGAACTTCTGACCCCACTCGCCACTACCGCCATAGCCAGTGTGGGCCACTCCTGCAAATAGTTCGAACAAGAGGGGCTCCTTGTCAGTCCCGTTCACTCTTTGTTGGATCGAGTTGACCATCTCGTCGATGTAGAAGAATGTTTTGCCAGGAAGGAGTTTCATAGCTTGGATGGGCATCTCATGGAGGGTGCATGGCGGGGGATTGCCCTGCTGAGTTGGCCACCTTTGATACCAATATGATCCGTGTGCATCTTGGAGGTCCCAATGCTTGATGAACTCTTCCACAGCCAGCCCATAGAATTGGAGTACTTCCGTTGGGCCACATCCTGGCCACCCCCCTGTGTCTTTCAGTGCATCCTCTTGCTGCCACGGACGCTTCGGAATATGGGGGCATATCCTAGACGACTCATCCCCAGCCGCAGCCTCACTCATGACAACCTCCTGCCTCGCAGCAGCAGCCTCCAGCCTCTCCGCAAGCGCAGGACGCTTAAACGCAGGCTGCATCTCATCAGCCGCGTCCATCTCATCGCTCGACCGTTTCTGAACGACCCTCGCGTCACCCGATGGAGTCCTGTTGAGCAAGCATTAGTCCACATACCCTCTTTCAGAGTGGCGGGGAATTTCGAAACGAACATGTTCGGGGCCGCCCATTGAGCGGGTCTAAAGTATTCGCCCATCTTGAACGGACAAGCTCGGGCGTCTCCCAGGGATATTGGTGGACGATTCCCGAGAAGATATATCAAGTGTGCTGTGGGGGAGAGGCTTCAAGGTGCAGCTCCCAGCCTCAGGGTGAAGAAGCGGGCGAACCAGTAGTGAAGAGAAAGTGAAGAGAAGACCATCAGCCAAACAAAGTTGATTCGGAACAGGCTTTGTCCTTATAGTAACAATGTCGAGGCGTGGAACAGAACGGGAGAGAGAGAGACATGAGAAGGAGAAGCAGAGGGCAACAAGAAAAGATTTGAGCGGGCAGGCTTGCACTTCCCCCTCTTCTCCTTTGCTCCTTCCCTTCATCGTGGCTTCCCTATTTCAATAGGTAGTGCGTCACAGAGCGCTCATGGGGAACGTTCTTGCGGACCTCCTGCCTTGACGAAGCTTGAAACGCAACTACCTAAGGTACCTACCTCATTGGCTTGTCGATAAGTCAACGACACCTTCGCTCCTGCCATGAAACTGGGTGATGGATATTGCGTCATGGCAAGAACCCGACAAACACTCACATCTCAATGAATATTCTAACTGAAATGACAAGTGAGCGGAGATGCTATCTCATCAAATGTGATAACGACTTACTTCTGATGCATAGCGAAATTCTGTATAAGGTCAGCCTATGGGGGAACCACCTCGATTTGTTCATCTTCAAGCAGTGCTCGTACTGGACAAGCTCGACCTCAGCAATCGCGTCACCAGACAACACAGTCGGCGCAAGCGTAAATACACTTCATTCGCTACGCTATCATCTTTTCATACATGGAAATCTTGAGTGCCTCGTCCGTCATTGCTCTTCTCAACCCTCAGCCCTCGTCCCTGTCCCTCCAAGAATGCTTTGCCAACCGGTTCCCCGAGACGCCAAACGATTTACTTGGGGCTCAACATAAGTGTACACGACATCTTTTTTCTTGAGGAAGAAGAAGAAAGGGAAAAAAGATGTCGAGACTAGTAGTAATTATATAAAATGTGGCTTGGTTTTCTTTTCTCTCAAAGACTGTTTCCCCCACCAATATAGGGTATCTCTTGAGAATAGCGGAGGAGTGGTGAGTTTGCGGTAAGGCGTAAATGGGGTTCTGTAAAAGGAAAAAAAAAAAAAAAAGAGAAATGTCAAGTTAAAAGAAGAAAAGATGGGGTTTGAAGAAGAAACAAAGATCATCTCGGAAAGCAGCGCATGGGGAACAAAAACGCCCATGCGAGCCAAGGATGCGTGACAACATGAGATAAATCACATAATGATGGCGGGAACGTCAACGTTGGCCTTGATGGACTTGTGAGGCAGGACGCTGCCGCCGTTGACGTAAATCTCGTCGCCAATGGTCACGTCGTCACCGAGAACAGTCACATTCTCGAGACGGGCCCAGCGACCGACGGTGCTGTTCCAGCCAACAATCGTCGACTTGACCCAGGCGTGGTCCTTGACCTTGGAGCCCTTGAGGAGGACGCATCGCTGCAGGCGGACGCCGTCACCGACGACAACATCCGGGCCAATGGTGACATTGGGGCCTATTCTGCAGTTCTTTCCAATCTTGGCCGAAGGGTGAATCATGACGTTGCCGCCGTGAACGTAGGGCTCGGTGGGAGGGGTCAGCTCCTTGCTGCCCTTCTTGGTGAGGGAGGACAGGTACAGGCAGGTGCCGCTGAGGAAGTCCTTGGGCTGGCCAACGTCCATCCAGAAGCCCTCGAGATCGAACGAGTGCAGCTGGTTGTCGGCAACCATGGCGGGGAACGTCTCCTTCTCGATCGACGTGGGGCGAAGCTCGATGCGCTTCAGGACGGAGGGGTTGAAGATGTACATGCCGGCGTTGATGCGGTTGCCGACGAACTCGACGGGCTTCTCGACGAAGCGGTCGATGCGCGAGGGGTGGTTGGGCTTGTGGACGACGACACCGTACTTGGACGGCTCCTCGACCTTGGTGACGACAATGGTGCCCTCATCGCCGTGGGCCTTGTGGAACTCGAGGAGCTCCTTGAAGGGATAGTCGCAGATGACGTCGGAGTTGAGGACGAAGAAGGGCGAGTCATCCTTGCCGAGGATGCGCTCAGCAAGCTTGAGGGGGCCGGCGGTGTCGAGGGGCTCCGACTCGACGGAGAACTCAATGTTGATGTTGTATTTCTCCTCGTACTAAACGGTCGAGCGTACGCAATCAGCCTTTGCGTCCATTGTCATTGGTGGGGGGGAGATATGCTGAGTAGGAGGGGAGGGGAGGGGGGGGGGGGGGGGGGCGAAAAGCTTGGTACAGCGAATGGGCAGGCGAATAGGCAAGGGTTTGTAGTGAGGGGTCATAGGGTGTGATGTGCACGACTCACCTCGGCCAGGAACTTTTCCATGATTTCTGGGCGGTAGTTGACGGCGAGGACAATGTCGGTCACGCCAGCGGCGACGAGAGCCTCGATCTGGTGCACAATCATGGGCTTGTTGCAGAACTCAACCAGAGGCTTGGGGAGCGTCAGGGTCTAGATTGGCGTCGCACAATGGTCAGTGGAGGTTCGCGGGTGTGAGAGGCTGCGCTTATGGTGGTTTTCCCCCTCCATGCCACCCCATCCGCGTCAATGCGGTAGTGGGATGCAGGTCGGATCGCTGCTGGTGGTGCTGGCGTGGACGTACGAGAGGGCGAAGGCGAGTGCCAAAGCCGCCGACAAGAATAAGTCCTGCGCAGGGGAGAGAGATTGTCAGCGAGATCTTGCCATTGGAGCTGGAGTGAAGCCAATGATGGGCAGATTGGGGAACCGGCGCGTCACCTACCCTTCATGGTGAATGTATGCGACGAAGCTGAAGTGCAAAGGAGATTCGTGGATGTTTTAAAGGGGGGGGTTTGATTTCGTAAGTAAAGAGGCAGAAGATGGTAGAAGAAGGGAAAAAGAATAAACTAGTATGTTGGATAGTGAGCGTAGAGAAGAACGAGCGACGGTGCAATGCTCGCAGGGCAGAGACTCGAGTGTCGGCTCGGGAGGGAAGAAAAGACGCGGTGGTTGCGGGAGGATGGAAGGGAAAAGGAGAGAGGAAAATGAGGTTCGGGCTGGATGGATCTAAAGTAGGGACGAACGAGGTGTCCAGATGTCACGACGCCGGTACGCGCTGCGGGCAGCAGATGAGCACGGAGGCGCAAGTACCTACTGCCGCTCCGCTCATGCGTACGCCTTGCCGTCCCAAGGTACAACAACCTGGTACAGGTAGTAGTGCTTGTACGAGTGCCTCATTTCGAGACGGATCGAGTGAGGCCTTTAGCGCGCTGGGCTTAGCGGCATGCCGACCCCAAAGTGGCCCCTGAAGCCTTGGAGCACTGATGGAAGGGTCCTCGGCCGGCGAATCAGGGCTCTGGATCCGACGACAGTGAAGGACGACCTGAGCAGCTGAATGATTTCATTTGGCCTGGGCGCACAGGTGCTGATGAGGAGACATTACATGCATCTCAAAGGCCATGCTGGTTTGCAGCCTCTTAGTTGGAGTGTCGAGCAAGAACTACTACTAGGTATCACTATCTAGGTACTTGTCCCGGGTTCCTGCAACTACCTACACACCCAAATGCTCGAGGCATTGATCGAATGGATGGAGCAGTTCAAGGCTGGGGAGCCTAGTTGACGGGTCCGGGTATGTATTACATCGCCTGTCCATGTCCTTTTGATCCAGGGGCCCCCGGCCAATCAGCTCGACAATCCAGAGCATGGAAAATTTCGGGTGCCCACGAAAAGAGGCCGAAAGAGGGCTGGCAGGCTGGAGGCGAAATTTCAGGCGGGATTCCCCCCCCGTAAGGTGATGGTGCCAGGGCAGGTTCATGTTAATACCTGCTATTGAGCTGCTGCTTATAGTAGAGTAGTATCACTGCATTCTGCACAACACCCATTTGGCGAGCCCGTAATAAAGCTCCGTTTCGTGTTCACCTGTTGGCTGGGGAATACCTTGCGACTCATCACGTTGTCTCTCATCTAAGAACCCTCGCATTCTTGTTGTGATGCTCATACGAAGTCTTCGTATCATTATTACCTGGCGACTTGCCTGAGATGCAATGTTTCAGCCATGTCCCCCCATTCTAGCATCTCATCACCACCCATTTGAGCATCACCGACCTCGTCACTCTGTACACCTCAGAAAAACAAGGGTCCGGCTACCAACGAGCACCCAGCATCCGGTTAGAGAGCACCCACACACACTGTAAATAACTATGCGGCTAAGTGCTCTTTTACAGCGCAAAAGCACCTTTCTAGACACCTGCTTATAAGTAGAGAACTGCAATTTAATATATTATAGCTATTAGATTATGCCTTTACTATATATTATAGCTATAAGAGCATAACTATACTATAGCGGCTAGAACACTATATGCATATGTATGCTACCTACAGCTATAAGATAGAAACTCTGCTATAGCAGCAATCTACAGCGAATTGCGACATTTCACGACTGGCAGTTGAAAGTATTGACTGGTTATACACTTGGTTTGACGCTAAACACATTGTACCCCCAATTCTGCCACCATTTTGCACACGCTCACTGTGAATCAAGCCCATACATACCTACTACAAACAACCTGAACAGAGACAGACCGAGACCTGCCATGAGTTACCAAGTAAGGTAGCACAACGCAGCAACCTGCATCCGGCGAGACTCCCACCGAGGTACACCGAGACATTCGAGTTGGTTCACCAACACGCAAACAGCCAACAAAATCCTCTTTTTCTCCTTTCCTTATATCGTTTCTATTTTCTTTTTGTGTTCGCCTTGGTGCGTCCTAAACCAACCCGTCAGCATTCTCATTTCGATAATGTATACTAGTACATCTGCCCCTGTTTCCACACCCCAACGCTGTCACACTCTTTATAGTTCACTCATCTCAGTCTTGCCTTATACATAATGTTACTTCTCGGCAACAGAACAAATCACGACGCCGAAACTCATTCAACGCAGCAGTCATTCACAAGCACCCCATATTACGAGAATACCCACAAGTACTACTTACCTATAACTACCTACCGACACAGCCGCAATCCCTCCCATCCCATCGCACCACCACCACCTCATCACTCCATCACATCCACTTCCCGTCTCCCCCCTCTCCCCTCCCCGTTACGAGCCTAGCACAACAATCCCATCCTTCGCTAATCTCACGGAACACGAGAAGACACAGTCCCCTAAACCTCGTCACGAGGGAACAAGACAACCAGGGACAAGGTACTTCCCTTCTCCCCTTCCTCTTCAGCCCAGAAAAACAAAAAGCCTCCACGTTCGGTCTTTGATAGGTTGTCAACGCCTTTGCAACACGTGGTGACATGATTACTACCATTAATTTACACTGGATTCCCACCGGAAAACATCGGTCAAGGGGCCCCTTGCCCAACGCTTCGTCCCCGCGGACCAGGGCCGCTAATAAGGAGCCACAAGCCACCTCATCCGATCCTCCCAAGTGCTTTCTCAGGTATGGAGCGAGAATTACGGCCGGACAACAGTCTTGTAGGTACAAGAGTGCATGCCACAGACTTTGAAGGTTCAGCAACAACCCCTCTCCAGAGGACTTTCCCGCGAAACAAGGGGCAATTTCAGGAACCTTCACCTCAGCATATCACTCTCGAGGAAGTTGCCAGAGTCGTTGATCGGACCTTTCACATATATTCATAAGAACCTCCCATCTAGAAAGAAGAATTGCACCACTGCGTTGTGCCAAAAGAGGAATACTAGAGGTATTCCGAAAGCAAAGAAAAAGTCGTGATCGTCATGTCATCATTATCGTTACTCATGAATTTTTTCTTCTTTTTTCTTTCTCCATCTTCTTTATCCTTGTCCTCTTCCCCTCTTCGTGTCCTTTCTTGTATGCCTAAAGTCGTATTCATCACCTCGTGTCGTTCAATCAAACCATCAGCGTCATCCTCTTTTGCATTCCGTCTGCTTCGTGACTTCACCATGATCGTCATTCAGTAGCAGGAAGCCGATCCGCAAGAAAGACACCAACCCTCTCCGAGAAGGGGTTACACCCGCGAATATCGTCAAACGAAGAAAATAAATCAGACACTCGCTTCGCTTGCTGCCAAAACCCCAGAAAGGAAAGTCATAGAGCCGTCCTCGTGAGAGAAGCAACTGCCTGTTCGTACGAGCGCGACGTTCTGTTGTATCTTATAAGAAAATGGACGTGAGGCAAAATGATGAAGAAACAACATGTGAGATAGGTGGCCATGGAGGCTAAGAGGCTTTCTGACTGAAAAACGTCCCTGTCGTCGTTCCGGCAGGAACATCCTCAGTCAAAGGGGCCGCCCATATAGAATGTGGCCAAGAGATAGCGATGAAACTGAAGAATTGATCCACGGCCCACAGGGGTAGGGAGATGAGGGTACCAAGAGGTCTGCACCGAAGCGTGAATGCAACGCGTTCAATCTAAACGCATTGGGAAGAGCACCAAGTCAACATCTAAGTTGAGAGCAAAAGGACCGGGGCCAGGCATGCCGACCGTGAAGAACTGTAAGGCGTGTCTAAAAGTCGTTTCGTGTCGTGAGTCGTTGCAGCATTGGCATTACAAGAATGCCTCTTTATCGCCGTATCTTTTCGTACGCGCTTTTGTCCGTACAAAATACCACTCATGTTTCTTTTTTTTTTCTTTTCTTTTTTTTCTCTTTTTCTTATTTTTCTTTTTCCTTCCCTGATCATCGAACCCGCACCTGAGGTATAGCAAAATGAATGTGTTTGCCGCCACGATAAGATTTAATAAGAAAAGGTTGGCGCGGTGATGGTTATATCCTCTAAGGGAATGCCGTGAAGCCTTTCAACCACATGTATATGTTGCGCCGTGCCGTGGCTGCCTGCGAAGGTCCAAGCCAGAGTCGAGAGGAATAGTTGGAAAACGATGTCGGGCAGTCAGCGCCTTGAAACTCTGGGGCCCGTTCAAGAGATCAGCGCCTGGTTTATTCGAACGAAGCAGTGGAACTGCTGCTCGAGTGAGTGCCGGAGCGGCGGCCGTGGCGCTCGTTGCCGTCCCTAGACGATGTAGGGCGGCTCTTGCGGCGGGTATCAGCATTGGCCGGGAGTCCCTGGACGATGCCATTGCGAGCGAGCATCCCGCCGTTGACCGAGAAGTTGCGGCAGACCATGAAGGCGCGCATGGCAGCATTCTCTTGAGCCAACACGTCGGACTCGTATGCCAGGTCGGTCTGGTACTCGCGTCCATTGACTAGGACAAGGCAGGTAAACCCATTGGGGTCACGGTAACACTCGTACGAGGGGTCTGTCCATCCTCGGCGCCGGCACAGGCCTATTGATCGCAGCCATTGGTTAGTATCTTCGTCTATGCTGAGCTTTTTTGGGCAAACGGATGAAACAAATTGAAAGAGGCATCAGCTGTCAAGACAGGGCAGGGCGTGATGGAAACAAGACACTTTGAATCTGGCCGGCTTCTTGCAGTCCGCAGGGTTCCTGCGTGAACAAGGAACCCGTGCTTCAGGGAGAGCAAGGCATAAGCGCAGAAAGATGTGTGTTCATTTGCACGCCTGCGCAATCCCGCATCACAGGAAGCGAAGGGCTGTAAAGGCTCAGTTGGGCGGCAGCAAGCCGTTGTAATGCTCGCTCCGACCCGAGAACCAGCCCTTATGACCGCCAAGGTCGCTGTGGTGGCCGCGCAAGGCTTGACTTGATAAATTTCCCCCCTCCCCCAAATCTCATACGCCACCCCCACACGAGATTTCGGGGCTGTCGGTATAGTATCCGTCGGCGTGAAGTAAACAAAAAGCACATGGGAGCTCAATTGACCAACTTACTCTCAAGATACTGCATGTAGAAGCCACCCATGGTTGCGGAAAGATGCCAATGGGTAACGAGGGAGGAAACGAAGAGAGGAATTGGCTTCAGGAAACGAAATTTTGTCCTGGTGGGCGAAAATAAAAGTGGAACAAAACCCAGAGGCCGCTGCCGCAGATATGCGAGTGTGTGCGAGTGAGTTGGAGAGGAATTGGCGTGTAGTCTGTGTG